TGGCTCGGACGTCTTCTTGTTGGCAACCAGCTCCAAGAATGCGGCGAACGCAAGGATCTGGGCCCAGCCCTCCTTGGGCACCACGGAGATGGCCTTGAGGCCGTTGGGGACATCAGCGAACTTCAAGTTGTTGGATGGGGAGAGGTAGCCGTCGAACTTGAAGTACTCTGGGACGATGTACCCCATTGTCGCAAACATGGACACACGTCCGTGCTTGATCTCGACCTCACGACGACGCTTGAAGACCTCGATGTCAAGGTCCTTGGAGAACCCGAGGGGATCCCAGAATCCGAGAGGCGCCTGATCACCGGTGACTCCTTCGAAGCCGGTCTTGGGCTTCTCCCACTCAGGCAGGGTGTTGTAACCGGGGCTCATCAAGCCGCTGCGGAGAGGAGAGTCCGTGTAGTTGGCCCAGTCACCCCACGCGGAGCCAGTGAGCCCGTCCTGGAACATCCTGGGCACGATGAACATGACATTGAGGGTTTCATGAGTGCTCTTGAGGCGTCTTGCTGCCACGCGGGCATATTCGGTCTCGCCTAGCGCAGCATGCTCTTGATTACCACAACTTAGGATGTTCCCCCTCATGCTAACAACCCTTGATAGGAGATACTATAATCCCTATTATGGACTCTTAGTAGAAGTGGGAGCATCCCAAACCACAACTCTTGGCTTGCCGGGCTGCATGCCCATGATGGCCATCATGGCCAGGCGCCCGTTCGCCAACTCCGCTGACAACTTGCGAGTGCGCGCCTTCGGTTTTCGGTTTAGGGTTTAGGGATTAGGGTTTAGGGTTTCGGGTTTCGGGTTTAGGGTTTAGGGCAAGGGGAGCTATTGAGGCCTGACACAAGCAGAACATTAACATAACAGACGAACTGAACATCACTTAACTTAGCAGCCCTGGCCTCAGACATAAGTAACAAATACATCCGAGATTGTCATGACAAAAGCTGCAGCCGCTTGCAAGAGGCTCTTCAGACTTCCAATTGCCGTCATTCTGATACGACACTTCGATTCCGGGGCTTCTGTACATCAGGGCTTCCGGACTTAAGCGCTCGGACCTTGAAACTCCAAAAGGAAGCAACCCCAAAGAAGCCAGTGACAAAGAGGCTGCCTGGATTTGGCTTTCCTTCTTGTGTTGGAAGTCGCCAGAAATCTTTGATTGGGCGTTGTTGGTGCTTGCACCGGCAGCCGTTTTCGGGCCCTGCCATATCTTCGCTTGCTTCATCTTCGGAGGCTTCGTATGACGAAATGACATTGAGCCCTGAGTTTGCGCTCACCCTAAACTCTAAACCTTAAACCCTAAACCCTAAACCCTAAACCCTAGACCCTAAACCCTAACCCTAAACCCTAAACCGCAAGCCCGAAACCCTAAGCCCATGCAGCTTGAGACAAGAACCGCCAGGGCCTGGCCAGGCCCTGGCGGTTCTTGTCTCAAGCTGCATGGGCTTAGGGTTTAGGGTTTAGGGTTTAGGGACTTTTCCTGTGTTTTGCTCTTCCTGAGGCCTGCCGAGAAACCCCTAGCTTGAGTTTCTTGCACTTGGCCCCTTGCCTGGAATGTTCACATGTTCATGGGGCTTGCAATGGTATACGTTGGGATGCTCCCCCTTTTTTCCTAACACAGCCCTCAATAGAATCCCTACTAAGGACCACCAGTACTATGATAATCCCGATTAAGGACTCTTAGTCTAAGGAAACAGCCCAAGGCATAAGAGTCTAAGGGGGAACCTAAACCCTAAACCCTAAACCCTAAACCCTAAACCCCAAACCCCAAACCCCAAACCCCAAACCCCAAACCCTAAGCCGCCGTAAACCCTAAACCCTAAACCCTAAACCCTAAACCCTAAACCCTAAACCCTAAACCCCAAACCCCAAACCCCAAACCCCAAACCCTAAGCCGCCGTAAACCCTAAACCCTAAACCCTAAACCCTAAACCCTAAACCCTAAACCCTAAACCCTAAACCCTAAACCCCAGGCTTCAAGCCTCGGGGTCGGCCACGGGCTTCAGGAAACCCAGGCCCAGGTTGCCCTTGCCGTAGTTGCCAGGCTCGTCGCCCACCTAGGGTTTAGGGTTTAGGGTTTAGGGTTTAGGGTTTAGGGTTTAGGGTTTTAGGGTTTAGGGTTTTAGGGTTTTAGGGTTTTAGGGTTTTAGGGTTTTAGGGTTTTAGGGTTTCAGGGTTTTAGGGTTTTAGGGTTTTAGGGTTTTAGGGTTTTAGGGTTGAAAAGAGAGGGGTGACCCTGAGCAGACCCTAGGGGCTTCGGGTTTAGGGTTTAGGTTAGGGGCCTGAGTGATTAGAATAGGGCTTTGTTACCAAGGGACGCTAGAATAATCCTAGAAAACTAGCAACTACTTCGACCCCCAGATTACCCTCACCGTCATGCCAGCCGCTGATGCTGCCCAGGTGCGGGCTTGTTGATGAAGAGCTCGTAGCAGCCCAGGAAGGCCACGATCTGACCCCAGCCCTGGCCGGGAACCTGCGCCCATCTCGGAAGCTGGGGACCGAGAGTGTGTTTCCAAGGGCCGAAACTTTGACACTGTTGCTGCTGCTGCCCTACGATCTCCGAAGTAGCCAGTATGAGGCCACTGTCTTGTACTGAGTTCTTGTTGTTGAATACAAAGCTTGCGTGCCTTCGTCAACGCTGCGAGACCGTTTGGGATGTCGGTGAACCTGGGCGGGGCGCGGGTTCATGGCAATGCACACCCACCCGCACACCCACACCAGCACCCACACCAGCACCCACACCAGCACCCACACCAGCACCCAGACACAGACATAGAAAGACGGACAGACAGACAAACAAGCAGGCAACGCACGGGCTTTTACATTGATTGCTCACACAAGCAAAAAGGGAAACAGCAACAATGAAGCCAGCAAGGTCCAAACACGCCCCCAACACAGGCCCTTTGACACTGTGGCCGTCGAGTGGCTTTAGGCCCAGCTTCGGGGAGAGCTCACCAGGCCAGCGGAAGTACTCCGGCACGATGTATCCTCGGCTCTGTCAGGTCGGTGTGCTGAGGAAGTTGAGAGAACCCCATGTATCCCCGCCCCCAACCCCCCAAGAGCAAAACGAACACCCCCAATTCTAAAATTCGGGTTCAGCTTTCCAGCGTTTTTGTTTGTCTTCGTGGGACCTTGCAATGCCTGTGCGTCAGCGGCTGCTGTACTAAGACGAAGTTCCGCGAGTCGAGGTCTCAAAGCGCGAGGCCTATGCAGAAAGGCCCTGACGATTCTTACGAGCACCTCCGCAACATGGATGCTACTTGGAGGTTCATGGGTACAGTAGCCATAAGTAGGGTTGCAAGTACCCTAAACAAGGTTATAATCAGGTCACCCTACTTACAACCCCACTTATAACTACCCATGAACCTTCAAGTATGGGTCTGCGATGAAGAACCGGTCCATGCCTTTCCTCAAACCTCTTACTTACGAAAGTCCTGAGGCCTGAAGCCGTGCGAGTGCCCTAGAAACGTCGCTTGCGCAAAAGGGCCCTGGAAAGCAACTCACCAAACCCCAGGGTGTAGGGTTTAGGGTCTGGGGTTTAGGGTTTAGGGTTTGAGGTTTAGGGTTTAGGGCTTAGGGAATGTGATGCCGAGTAGCCCATGGCCGCGTACATGGAGATCCGGCCGTGCCTCGTTAGCCGAGACGTTGAGGCTACAGGATTCTTGAACACTTGGTAGCCCAGGAACCATATTATGATAAGGGTTTAGGGTCTAGGGTTTAGGGTAACCATATTATAGTAAGCGCACCCTTTTTTGGGTTGGTTACTTTATAAGGGAACCTTGAACCCCAAAAAAGGGACGAGGGTACCACTGGGCTACCAAGAACAGCTAGGCTTGGGCGCCGCTCGGTTGTGCAACACAGGATGCTAGGGTTCAGGAGTTCGGGCAGAGGCCGAGGGTATCGAACTCGGGAAAACAGAGCTTAGCTTTATTTGAATGAGGGTTTGCTCATCGTTGGACTGGATAGGGAAGCGGAAGATGACGCCGATACGTGTACCCTTGCCTGGGGGTTTAGGGTTTAGGGTTTAGGGTTTAGGGTTTAGGGTTTAGGGTTTAGGGTTTAGGGTTTAGGGTTTAGGGTTTAGGGTTTACTGATGGTCTGCTTCCGGCTCTTATCACAAGGGGCGATCTGGAGTGTTCGGAAGACTCTGTGTGCATGGCCAAATGGCCTAGAGTACGAGCATACATCAAATCGAGACATTTTTGTGCTTTTTTGGGTTTAGGGTTTAGGGTTTAGGGTTCAGGGTTCAGGGTTCAGGGTTCAGGGTTCAGGGTTCAGGGTTCAGGGTTCAGGGTTCAGGGTTCAGGGTTCAGGGTTTAGGGTTTAGGGTTTAGGGTTTAGGGTTTAGGGTTTAGGGTTTAGGGTTTAGGGTTTAGGGTTTAGGGTTTAGGGTGCCACAAAGCATACTGTAGTGCATTCGTGTGCAAGTTCGGGCGCGCGGCTTCGTGGCTACAGCTTGCATCATGCCAAGCCAGTCTTGCGCCGCGACATGCTGCACGAAGCAAGCCATCCATGGTGATTTAGTGTTGTTTTTCGGCGAGGATCTTGATGCCGGTTTTGCACGGAGGATTGTCAGGCCCCAGATGTTTTGTTGTAAACGATTGTATTAAGCCGAAAGCGCCAAACCGCAAAAACCCGAGAGACCTGACCGAGGCACTTGAGCTCCACCTCGCGGCGGCGCTTGAACACCTCCGTGTCGCCGTCCGCCGAGAGACCGAGGGGGTCCCAAAATCCCACGGGGGCCTCTCAGATTCGGTTTAGGGTTTACGGTTTAGGGTAGGAGTCGAATAGTTGAGGGACGATACTTCATGCTTTAGATCCTCCTACCCAAGCACAACCCTGAACCACAGGCCAAAAACCAGTGGAACTCCAATTTCAGGCGCCCGCGTGTGAGACTTGCTGAATAGCACGTGCTGCAATTTGTTCTGCGTGCTTGCAGAAAGGCAAGGTGAGTCAGTCAAAAGCCGATTTCGATGCCCCCAGGTGCCCGAGTTGCGATACTTGTCTACCTGCCATGTTTGCCAAGTGTTGCTGCAAACACGCTTGTGCATCAAAACACGCATAGGCACGAGGAAAAAGCACGCCCCAACCTGGCAACCAAGAAGGCTGAGTCCGAAAACCTTCACTTGGAATGCTCGATAACAGGTGTTGCATGACCCTAAGGCATCGTAGCTGACATTTGGTTTGCCCTGTCCGGTTCTTCCAGCTTTCGTTGCGCATGAGAAAGAGAAGAGAGAGAGAGAGAGAGAGAGAGAGAGAGAGAGAGAGACAGAGAGAGAGAGAGAGAGCGAGAGAGAGAGAGAGAGAGAGATATATATATATATATACATGTATATTCTATGTAACTGGCCCCCCAAAAACTGCAAAAACATCATGGCCCAGCCCAGATCCAGGAATCGCGCCAGCAGGGTTCGAGGCTTGGAGCTTCCCTGTGCCCGATGCGCCCTATGAAATGAAAAGGATTGGGAACCCCAAACGGGGAACCCCAAGAAAATGGCCGGAATCAGGGTTTAGGGTTTAGGGCTTAGGGTTTAGGGTTTATGAAACGGACCCTGGTAGGTAGATTCCTATTCTCTCCCGACTCTATTCTCGGAGTTCCCTGCTTGGGGTTCCCATGAAAGTCCGTCCCTCTGCACCCTATCCCTACTTTGGAGTAGACCCTGGAAAAAAAGAATTATACTTTTCAGGCACACGTAGCAATCATAGGACCCCAGAACCAAAAAAAAACATCAAAAGCACAGTACCCCTAAACCCTAAATCCTAAACCCTAAAAACCCTCAAAACCCTAAAAACCCTAAAAACCTTAAAAGCCCTAAAAACCCAAAACCCAAACCCCTGCTGGCCTGCACGCCCAGCTCACCCTCGAAGGCCCGCAGGGGTGAGGCGGTGTAGAGAGACCAGTCCTGGGCTGGCCGGCCCTAAACCCTAAACCCTAAACCCTAAACCCTAAACCCTAAACCCTAAACCCTAAACCCTAACTTTGCTATCCAGCTTGCTTAAGAATTCTGAAGGGGTGTTGGGCTTAGGGTTTACTTAGGGTTTTATGGGGTTTCTAGGGTTTAGGGTTTACGTTTACCCCCCCCCCCCCCCCCCCCCCAAAAAAAGAAGATAATAAATCCCTATCGCCCAAGAGAAACATATTCTCTTTCTTTTTACGGGTGGGGGCGGGGGGTTCTTAAGTAAATAGTAGTTTAGGGTTGAGCAGGGCCACGGCCAAGGACTTAACAGGGTTGAGGGGCGGATGCTGGTGCTTTGGGCCCTCAGGCGCTGTCTCTACAGCAATCTGTGGATCTGCACGCCAAAGCCCCCGAACCTCAATGTCTTGACCAGAGCACGCCCCAGGCGGAGCCAGTGAGGCCATCCTGGAAGAACATACCTGGGGCTTATGCTAACCCAGGCAACATGTTGAGCTTGGCCTTCAAGACCTTTCATGCTCTCTATGCTTCTGGGGGGGCCACGCAATCTTCTTACTCACGAACAAGGCAACACGTGACACGTGCTGAATTTCACATCTTCAGCCCTCGCAGGATAACCATGCAGAGATGAACCTCGGTACGGTCTCGCGTAAATTCTCGTGCCATGCTCAGAACAGGCGGCTGTTGCACCACGCGGGCAAACGCATGACGAAGGTATTTGCGGCAAGTCCTCTTCGCCTGAAGCTGCAAGCACATTCGGGCATCACTTGGAAAGACTTCCTTGCGGCAGGGTTCGCCTGTCCCACTGAGCACGTTGCGTCGATTCTCTGCACGGTTTATCGACATCGTACCGCAAAGGACCAAGGTTGAACGCAGGAACAGGCCGCATTCCGCAGCCCCAGCGATGTTGTTGCGCAACCGACTTAAAGCACTTGACCCGATCGCGACAAGTCGAAGTCCCGCAGCCGAGCCCTGCTTACGCACGCTGCTGTTAAGTTCGCCAAAGCCAGAGCAAGGCTTGCTCTGGCCTTCGCGGCGCGCACAAGCACCGACCGAAGGGTGTCGGAACAGGCATGCGGGAGCACCTACCGCAGCAGTGGCACACCCCAAGCTGATGGTGCCCGGGTGCCGATGATGGCCATCATCGCCAGTCGTCCGTTGGCCAACTCGGCGTTCAACTTCTTCTTGCGGGCCTGCCAGCTTTGTGAGATTCTATGAGGCAGCCAGAGACTGGTATTCGTCTACAGCACTGCCATGCAAGTTGACCCCCTAAGTCCGCGTGCCGACCTCGGGATCCGTGATGCCCGTGCTCATGACTCCCACAGACCTCGGCTCCGGTGGCGCAGGGGGAAGCTTCACTTCGGGGCCCCACAGCGAACTCAAGTGCCCAATCCCTACCAAGTCGGGCTCTGGCAAGGTGTAAGGTAGGGTTGGGGGCTTCAGGGGTTTCGGGCGTCGATGTCGATGCCCAGAGTGCCAAGTCCATGTGGGTGCAAGCGGATTGCAGTAGTATGGACCCATGCAGTTTTGACCCCGCAAATCTTCTACTTTATTCCGCCCTCCAGCCACACAAATCGACCAGCCAAACTTGAACCTTCTCTGGGATGGGTCAGGGCTGCTTTCTTAAGCTCTCTTGCCCCATGTCGAGAAAACTTCTGCGAGCGGCCGAAGGCCAAGGAAACCGGCGCCGTAGTTGCCGGGCTCGTTGTCAATCTACGGCCAGGGGCTTTCAAGGGCTTGGCTGGCTGGGTTGATTGTGTCAGGGTTTGGGTCCTGGATTTAGTATAAACCCTAAACCCTAAATCCTAAACCCTAAACCCTAAACCCTAAGCCCTACACCAGCCCGAAACAAGGAAGCCCTAAAACCCGTGAACATGAGCCCCGCGAGCTTGAGGTTCATGGGGCCTCGGGCATCCAGCCGCGTAGACTCTGCAGACAGAGCCCTTACTCCAACCCTAAACCCTAAACCCTAAACCCTAAACCCTAAACCCCAAAAAGAACGAGCCGGAGGGGTAGTCTTAAGCCATCCTCGCCCTCCGAGCTGTTGTCCCTGAATTGAGCCGTCAGATCTGCAACCTATACACCTGAACCCCACTCCCCAACAAATCCTCAAACCCTAAACCCTGCACCCTAAACAACCCTAAGCCCTAAGCCCTAAACTTGAACCCTAAACCCTCAGCGCTAAACTAGCCCCCATCCCCCCCCCCCCCTCCGGGCACCTGCTCATTGTAGACGTTCACCTCCACGATGCCCGCGAAGCCCACGATCTGCAGCCAGCCGAAGGTGGGCACCTCGGCCACAGCGAGCTTCGGGTCAGGATTGGGTGGTTCGGGATCATGGGGCTTGGCGTTTAGGGCTCATGGGTTGAGGGTTTAGGCTGCAGGGTTCCACAGCCTTGGAGCTCGTATGAGCTAGGGTAGCAGTCTACAACCTGAAGTCTCATTTTCAGAAGAAGGGGAGAGCAGGAAGGGCGTAGTCACTAGCGGGGGAGGCACTTAGCTCAGCCACAATCCTGAAGCCCCACTTGTCGGCTGCGGCGCTTTGCTCAAAGCGCTCAGGCCATTGGGGACATCTGCGAACCTGCGCTGGGCGTCTGGAGGGCTGGGGCAGACGGGTGGTGGGGGTGAGAAGTGTTGGCGAGGCTTGATTACGGGAGTGCAAGTATTCAACTCCATGCTTCTGACCGACTGAAAGTGGTGAAGATAGATGTTGCTTCCCAGCTGGAGCTCAACCATACTCTCATGGACCGACGCACACGATCCAACTGGCAGCAACCTGGCCAAGTGAATCATCTGCAGTGTTCACACTGATGCCCTGAAACTGTCAGCCGTGGAGCTTGATGTCCAGGTACTTTGAGAGGTAGCCCGGAAAGCGCCAGTATTCCGGGAGGATGTAGCCAATGGTCGCAAACATGGCCACGCGGCCGTGCCTGGGTGGCAACCAGTGATAGCTTCAGGAGGCCCACCAAACTAGGCCAAGCTTTCTGGGGTGCTTTGTTGGGTACAGTAGTCACAGGTTTAGGGTTGGAGCTATGGGGGCGCTGTGGTGCGCCGGTGCTGGCGGCTTCTGTCCCTTCCGGTTCCTCGGCCCAAGCTGCTTGAGCTCGACCTCACGCCGTCGGCTGAAGTCGGACAGGTTGCCGCTAGACGACAGGCCCAGGGGGTCCCAGAAGCCGACCTTCGGACGACGCTCGGAGCTTTGCAAGGGTCTAGAGCTTGGGGAAGGAACGACAACGTGCCCCTTGTTTGCAGTATCTCTTGGTGGGTTGAAGCGCAACACGTACCTAGAAAAGGCCAGGGACTATTCTGACCAACCTAGAATTACCTCAGCAGACATCAACAAAACTAGCAACCCTTCGAAGGACGCCTTTGACACACCTTTCGCTCGCCGCGTATCAGCGGAACCCTGAACAAAGCCAGGTCGCCGGGGGCTGCACGCCCGTCTCCTCCTCGAAGGCGCGCAGGGGCGAAGCTGTGTAGAGGGACCAGTCCTCGGCAGGAGGGCATAAGAGTTGGCATGTTCCCCCCTTATGCTAACAGTCCTTAATCGGAATTGTAGTACCCCCCCCCGCCCCCCTGTTTTAATCCCTATTAAGGACTGGTAGGTTTCGGGGGTCATCCCAAGCTTACCACAACTCACGACTGCCGGTGGGCGCTGATGCTTGAGGTACTTTCTACACAGTCTGGAAACTTTGAAAGCCCATCCCAAACTGCGATGTTCAGTGTCTTTTCGCTTCCCGATGAGTTCACCACACGATGCCTAACCTCGTCATCTCCCACAACAGACCCTTCTTCGCGCCCTCGATATCTGCCATGCGTAGCTGCTTAACTAGAACAGCTCAGTTGTATGCACTGGACGTTACCCTTAGACAAGCCTAAGCTGCAGACTTCCCCCGAAGCCCCTAACCTCGCCGACTCAAGACAAACGCCTACGACACCAAACCGGTTGTCCCACGTCAAGTACACTAAACCTAAAGAACCCTACGCCCTGTAAAACCCTTCTAAACCTAAGAGCCCACACCCTCCTAAACCCTAACCTTCTTGACCAGAGGGCGCCCCACGCGGAGCCAGTGAGGCCATCCTGGAAGAACATACCTGCAAGTTGTCCGTGAATCAAGTTGATTCGTGAGAACTTTTGTACAACGACGACTAACTTCAACAGTCTCTACGGCCCCAAACTCAAAACAACCCACGGTTTAGATTCGGGGCTTCCAGTTTGAGTGCTCTTTGGGGGGTGGTTGACAGTTGGGGTGTGTTGGCCCGGCTGAGCACAACACCTCGCACCAGCCGGGCCCTCCCGATTCGCCGAGCTGCGCAATCCAGCCGCGTGAATCCATGCACCACGGTTTCAAGGTCACTACCTACATTTATCAACCTCCCAAATCAACAGGGGTTGTGGGGTAACCGGCTTGAAGCACGGGACGCCCCAACCACGACTAGTCGTGAGTCCCGCAGCCGAGCCCTGCTTACGCACGCTGCCGTTGAGTTCGCCAAAGCCAGAGCAAGGCTTGCTCTCGACTTCGCGGCGCACATGCGGGAGCACCTACCGCAGCAGTGGCACACCCCAAGCTGATGGCGCCCGGGTGCCGATGATGGCCATCATCGCCAGTCGTCCATTGGCCAACTCGGCGTTCAACTTCTTCTTGCGGGCCTGCCAGCTTTGTGACATTCTGTGAGGCAGCCAGAGACTGGTATTCGTCTACAGCACTGCCATGCAAGCTGACCCCTTAAGTCCGCGTGCCGACCTCGGGATCCGTGATGCCCGTGCTCATGACTCCCACAGACCTCTGCTCCGGTGGCGCAGGGGGAAGCTTCACTTCGGGGCCCAAGCGCGCTCGAGTGCCCAATCCCTAGCAAGCGGACTCTGGTAAGGTGTAGGTTTGAGGGTTGAGGGCTTCAGGGGTTTCGGGCGTCAATGTCCGCTCCCGCCGCAAAATCGCCCAGCTAAACTTAAACCTTCTCTGGGCAGCTTTCTTGATCTCCTTTGCCCGATGTCAAGCAAACTTCTGCGAGCGGCCGAAGGCCAAGGAAACCGGCGCCGTAATTGCCGGGCTCGTTGTCGATCTACGGCCAGCTTTCATGGGTGGCTGGGTTGATTGGGAATCTTAGGCTGGCAGCCTACACCATGGACCATATCCCTAAAACAGCAAAGGTGTGAGGAGTATTGGGCGACCGGATGTTAAGCCCTCACCTTCAAAGCTACCCTCCACCCCATGCCGGTTGAGACCTGGGGGGGGGGGGTGGGACCACACCAAAAAACGGCTGAGGCTTTGGGGGGGCCCAGGGTTTAGGGCTTAGGGTCTAGGGTTTGGGGTTTAGGGCTCCGGGCTTTCGGGAGACCCTGAGGCGACTGCACAAGAAGCGGGTTTGATGTCTACGTGGCTGGGCCCAGGCCATCCCTGCCCACGCTTCGACGCTGGGCTAGGAGGGAATCTTAGGGATGTGATATAGGGGGCCGGCGTCGGAAGAATTACTAGTAGCATTCCCCGATGGTTCCTTTATACGAGGATAGCCCCCCGAAGCCCTGTTCTAAGGCCCGAGAGTATTTCATTGGAAGGGGCCTTGTTTGGTAGTTTATTCACTATTTCTATTTCAGTTATAGAAGGATTATAATGGCAGAAGATTGGCAATCGCGCAGGCTCTGGCCCGGAAGTTCGAACCACCGAGCCGTGAACAAAAATCGTCGCCTTAACGTTGAAGCCATCCTCGCCTCGGGCCCCCGCCCCCCGCCCTTCTCGATTGATACAAGCGCTTGAAATAACATTGAAACCCGGAAAACGTCCGCAATACCGAAACCCTGAAAACCCAACAAATCCTCAACCCTAAACCCTGAACCCTAAACAACCCTAAGCCCTAAGCCCTAAACCCTAAACCCTGTAAGCCCTAAACCCCCACCCCCCCCCCCCTCCGGGCACCTGCTCATTGTAGACGTTCACCTCCACGATGCCCGCGAAGCCCACGATCTGCAGCCAGCCGAAGGTGGGCACCTTGGGGCCCAGGGCTTCTTGAGGGTTTAGGGTTTAGGGTTTAGGGTTTAGGGTTTAGGGTTTAGGGTTTAGGGTTTAGGGTTTAGGGTTTAGGGTTTAGGGTTTAGGGTTTAGGGTTAGGGGACATGCGGGATCCTGAGCTCAGGAGTTCTAGGACCTCGGGATCATGAGCTTAGGAGTTATAGGACTTAGGGGATCATGAGCTTAGGAGTTATAGGACTTAGGGGATCGTGGGTTTAGGAGCTTTAGGACTTAATCAGGGACAACGGGGTGTCTAACGTTCTAGGGTCGTAGGGTTCTAGGCCCTAAGCACACAAAGAGATGCTTCAGGCTAGGGGACCATGGCTTCAAGGTTTAGGGGGGGTTGAGGGCTTGCAGCTGGAGGCTTGCAAATCTTGGGGCAACCCCTGCGCTGTCTTGAGGTCTTGAAGGGTGTTCCCCACGCTGGTGTCCCCTGAGCAGCAAACGCTAAACAACTTATGGCCTAGCCACCAAGCTCCCAGATTCGTACCCGAAAATAGGTCGCTCGACTGCTAGATGTGTTCGCGTATCCCTACGCACCCAGATTTCAGAAGAAACGGGGAGAGGCGGAGGGGCAAGCGCTTAGTTCAGCGGTGGTATAACGGTGTGAAACCTGAAGCCCCACTTGTCGGCTGCGGCGCTTTGCTCAAAGCGCTAAGGCCATTGGGGACATCTGCGAACCTGCGCTGGGCGTCTGGAGGGCTGGGGCAGACGAGTGGAATTAAGGGGTGAGCAGCGTTAGGGAGGCTTGTCACAAGAAGCGAAGAAATAGGTAATTATACAGGAGCCCAAGCACTCAAATCCACATGCTTCTGACGACTGAGAATCGCTTCTAGGGCTCTTCAATTGAAGCTTCACTCATCGACACGGCCAAGGGAAATCTTGCACTGTCGGCTCACTGGCCTATAACGATCATCTGTTCACACTGATGCCCTGAAACTGTCAGCCGTGGAGCTTGATGTCCAGGTACTTTGAGAGGTAGCCCGGAAAGCGCCAGTATTCCGGGAGGATGTAGCCAATGGTCGCAAACATGGCCACGCGGCCGTGCCTGGGTGGCAACCAGTGATAGCTTCAGGAGGCCCACCAAACTAGGCCAAGCTTTTTGGGGTGCTTTGTTGGGTACAGTAGTCACAGGTTTAGGGTTGGAGCTATCGGGGCGCTGTGCGCCGGTGCTGGCGGCTTCTGTCCCTTCCGGTTCCTCGGCCCAAGCTGCTTGAGCTCGACCTCACGCCGTCGGCTGAAGTCGGACAGGTTGCCGCTAGACGACAGGCCCAGGGGGTCCCAGAAGCCGACCTTCGGACGACGCTCGGGACATGGGTTTAGGGCTTCATAGAGGAACGCCAATGATGCGACGAGTTCAAGCGCAGAAAAAGCTCCTGGACAAGACCATCGACCAGTTGACTAAAACCACAAAGACGTTTACCTGAGCACATAATTTGGATGCGACATCAGTGGGAACGCGGCACTTCTGGGAATCTCCGGCGAAGCCTTTGAACGCATGGACAGGTTGAGCCCTACGCATGATGAAACCCCCCCCCCCCAAGCCAGGTCGCCGGGGGCTGCACGCCCGTCTCCTCCTCGAAGGCACGCAGGGGTGACTCCGTGTAGAGGGACCTGTCCACATTTGACGGGTTTACTTTCTGGTGTTCGCGTCCTATTGTCGGCTCGGGTTTGAGGAGAGCATTGTATTGAGCATCCTTTTCTCCAGCCGTCCAGCCATAAGAAGCTCATGGGGTGTGTCCATCAGCTAGATGAATGTCGGGCAGGCGAGCTGGAGGATGCACAGACGGGCTCACTGTGCTTATCGACATGATGAAGCTGATGTCCAACACCATATTTCAAGGACCGGATATCAGCTCGAACTCTTGTACAGCTACAAACCCCCCTTCAACCCTCCACCCAAAGCCAGACATTCCAACCAAGCGGCCAGTCACCCCATGCGGAGCCTGCGGGCAATGCACGGTGCTCTTGTGCTGTGCAAGTATAATAACCTTCGCTCAATGCCCCCTAAAACTTATACATCTAAACCTGTGAGCTCACGGATCCCACCGAAAAACACCAGACTAAATCTGTTTGTACGAGACCAATGAAGCTGCCTACATCTGCCTACTTTATCCCATAGAACCTCGACAGGATTATCTACCTGTGGGCCAGTCTGAAGGAAGGAGCATATTGTGGAAGACATAAGGGAGTTAGGATACATACTACAAGGTTCTATCCGAATCTGGGGATTCTATTTGGGAACACCCCTCCTGCACTCCCCCTAAGTACTGGGGCAGAAGGTTCGGGCCTGTGAGTCCATCCTGGTAGAACATGCCTTAGCTGCCCGGCATCCTGGTCCAAGATATCTGTGGGCACACGACGCGAGATTCCAGTGCTTGCTCTATACACCGCTCCCTAAGCTTTGCCAAAAGAAGAGCTAGTTGAGCACAATAGCGTGTGATATGCCAAAAATGCGCTCTCCTGTCATGATTAGCCGGGCTGCCGATGATGGCCATCATGGCCAGCCGACCATTCGCGAGCTCCTGCAGACGACACAGACACACGTCATCGAACCCCCGCCCCCCGCCCAAACTGCCCTGACTCCTAACAGGCCTGCTCTGCCCGTGAGCCCTACAATGTGCCTTCCCAAGCCCCACCAACAGAGCCCTGAACCCTATGCAGCCCAAGATGCTGCGTTGAGCTTCTTCTGCTTGGCCTCGGGGTCCGAAGCAGTCAGGACGTAAAAGCCAAAGTCACCTTGCAAGCTGGGCGTAGGGCCGGAAACTCTTTCGTTTCCCTCAGTTTCCCCAGAGATCCCGCACGCCTTTGTTTAGATTTAGACTCAGATGTGCATGTTTTGTGTACGTTCATATTCAGGTTTATTTCTATAGTGTCTTAGTAGCCCAGGAACCACATTACAGTAAGGGCACCTCTTTTGGTTGGCTACTTTATAAGGGAACCCAGAACCAAAAAAAGGGAGAAGGGTACCGGCTACGAAGGTGTTGAAGTTCTGGGATTCTAGCAGTCAAGGTTTTGGGGGTTCCGGTAGGCTAGGCTTCAAGCCACGAGGCAGCAAAGTCCTGAACCCAACAATCCTGGTTTAGTGTGTGCAGCAGGGTTTAGGGTTTAGGGTTTGGGGTATAGGGTTTAGGGTTTAGGGTTCCTCAAACAACAGAAGACCTTGTGACTTTGTCGGGGTTGCCCAGCTGACGTAGAGGCCAGTCTGAGTCTGTGATCTTCCTCCCCCACAATCCCCAAAGCAGGCTACCGGCTTAGGTATAGTAATTTAGGCCCTAACCCTAGCCCGAAGCCCAGGTTTAATTCGGGACACCCCTTTCTATGCTTTATATTACTTTCTCACAACTTCACGGAACAGCCCCTCAACGCCCTGCGCGCCAGGGTTGAGGGATGCCAAGGGTTGGAGGGATTGCGGGGCCTCGGAAGGGTTTTGAGGGGACCCAGGAGAGCTGAAGACCCCGGCCGTTCCGGAATCATACCCCCAAAAACACTTTGGGCTCAGACCCTAAACCCTAAACTACCCTAAACCCGAACTCTAAACCCTAAACCCTAAACCCTAAACCCTAAACCCTAAAAGGCTTTAGGGATCTTGAAGATCCCTCACTTCGAGGAAGGTTGTCGAACTCCGAGGTGCCAGGGCGTCCGCTGGCGATGTCGGATCCCGCGCCGCGGCTGACCTGCGACTCACGCTACTTCTTAGGGTTTAGGATTTAGGGTTTAGGGTTTAGGGTTTAGGGTTTAGGGTTTAGGGTTTAGGGCTTAGCGCTTCTATAAATGTAAAAATCTTTAGGGTTTCGAGGGTGAATAGGGTTTACAGGGCTTACAGGCGTTTTAGGGTTTAGAAGTTTTCGGGGCTTAGGGGGGTTAATTGTAACCTACTCAGAGGACTTCGGTGGCTTATACGTACAGTTGTAATTGGGGTTAAGAGCGGTGCTTGTTTTCAATTTTATAACTAAACCGTATGCACATACTCTAGTTGCCCTCGTTTGTGTTCTAAGTCGCGCCCATTTCTGTCTCGGCTGCTGCCTAGTAGGGAGTGTGGTCTAGGGTTCAGGGCTTGGTGGCTGGGTGACGGGCTGCCTGTCTCTGTGGCTGTGTAGCTATGTGAGTGTGTGGGCGTGTGGGCGTGTGCGCCTGCGTAGCTGCGTGGCTGCATAGCTGTGTGGGCGTGTGTGGGTGAAGGTGTGGATGTAGGCAGGCGTGGGTGGGCATGGGCAGGACTGGGGCGAATGGAAAGTGCGAAGAGCCCAAACCCTAGACCTACTCTAGGCCCGAGAGTAACCCAGGAATAAAAAGGGGGCGGGTGCCCTTTTTGGGTTGAAGGAGTTTACAAAGGAACCTAAACCCTAAAAAAAGGGAATGAGGGCCTACTCTGGGTCCTAGTTCTTGGAATCCCAAGCAAAGGGCCTACTCGGTGTCCTAGTACTTTGAATCCCAAGCAGGAATCCTCCCTGGTAGATAGAACCCAAGCGGGAACCCAAACTTGAAATCCTCAACCCCGAAAACGAAGTTCTGAGCTGGGCAGGCTTCCTCCGGCCTCGCACCAGCTCATATAGAGGAGGATCTGGGTCCAGCCACCTGCCAAGCCCATGGCTGGGGTCTTGCTCTTGCTGCTTGGGTGGCGCACTCAACGGGCTTGGCGCTTCAAGGATTTGGTGTTCAGGGCTTAGGGTTTAGGGCTAAAGTTTAGGGTTTAGGGTTTAGGGCTTAGGGTTTAGGGTTTAGGGTTTCGGCTCTTCCTTCGACTGCTACCTTCTAAGGGGAATTAGTTGCATATGGACTCTTGCTACGACCCCTGAAAAAGTGGACCCCTCATATACTCCACCCCCCCCCCCCCCCCACATACCATACAGTACCATATTGAGGGCTCGAAAAAGGGACCCCCCCACACAGCATATTGAGGGCTCCAAAAAGACCCTTCGAGACTTGACCAAGTCGCCGCGATCCTGCCCACCAAGCCCTCAAACCCCTCGAGCCCTAAGCCGAAGAACGACCGTCCATTCCTCCAGGCCCCAAACGTTTCCCCCCCCTACCCAGGATTTTGGGTATAGGGTTTAGGACTTGGTGTTTAGGGTTTAGGGTTTAGGGATTAGGACTTGGGACTTAGGGTTTAGGGTTTAGGGTTTAGGGTTTAGGGTTTAGGGTTTAGGGCTAGGGTATAGGGCTAGGGTTTAGGGTCCCTTCGCAAGGAGGCCTGCAGGAACCTTGGAGATGGCTGCCAAGCCATTGGGGACGTCCGCAAACTTAAGGCCGGCCGAAGGGGACAAGAAGCCTACCGGGTGGTCTCATGGCCTTCTTACAGTTTAGGGTTTAGGGCTTAGGGTTGAGGGTTGAGGGTTGAGGGTTGAGGGTTGAGGGTTTAGGGTTTAGGGTTTAGGGTTTAGGGGCTTATAGGGCTGAGGGGCTTTGGAGGGAGATTTGGGGCTTAGGGGCTTCTGGGGGCTTAGGGGATTTAGGGGTTTGGGGGATTTAGGGGCTTAGGGGCTTAGGGGATTTAGGGGCTTAGGGGATCTAGGGTTCAGGGGTTTAGGGGCTTAGGGGCGTATAGGGCTGAGGGGTGTAGGGGATGTAGGGGCTCAGGGGTTTGGGGGTGTAGGGGTTGTAGGGCTTGTAGGGCTTGTATGGTGTTGGGGCTTAGGGATCTAGGGGTTGGCGGAATGGTTGAGTGGACACCGGGCAACATACAAACAGAAACGCAAGCTGCAACCTCGATACACCAGAAAAAGAAAAACAACACGTTCAACCTGAACACAAAACCATTACAAAGCCAACCGAACAAAAGGAAAACACAGCCAACAAGCGCACATGCAAAGCTTGTTGTCGCTTGTGTGCGTGGGGGTAGTGGGTGCGTGCGTGTGCGGGCGGACGGGCGCATGATGGTGCGCGCGGGCGGGCATGAGTGTGCGTGCGTGCCCGGGCGTGCGTGCGTGGACGTGAGCGCGTGTGGTGAGCGCGGGCGGGCGTGTCCGGGCGTGCGTGCTTGGGCATGCGTCATGCGTGCGTGAGCATGCGTGCCCGAGCTTGTGTGCCTGAGCTTGTGCGCGCGGGCGCGCCGCCGCAGGCGTGCATAGTGCGTGTACATGGGCGTTTGTGTGCGCGTTCGCGCGCATCTTTTTGCATTCCGTGTTCTCTTCGGCATCTTTTTGGCCATATAGGCACAAACAAGAAACGCAAATGCTAGATGCAGGACAAATGCAACATGCACGCCGACTCCTCGTTCCTACATCTCTGTATAAACTAGCGACTGCAGCTATGGCCGGATACAGGTCAGCTTGCATGCGCCCGAGACAGCGAGGACAGCACAATGCGGTCAGCGCCATCATCTTGCATGACATTCCGAAAGCCTTCTCCCGAAAAGCTTGTTCCTGTTCTATACCCTTCTTTACCCCCCAGCTCCTGATGCATGTTCTGCAGGCTTCACTATCAACCGCACATGGGTGGCTGTCAACATGATGACCCCTTTTGGGGCACCCTGAATATTATAGGTGCCGTATCATCATAGGGGTCCAAAAAGGGACCATAATTTGACAGCCAAGCGCGCCTGAAAAAGACTTGCATGTCTGACTCACATCTACCAATTCCTTAAGAGCCCAATAATTCTTCTTTATAAGGGTAATATAGTTTTTTTTTTTTGGGGGGGGGGGGGGGGGTTCTAATGCAAATGGTAGACATACATCTGTTTGCTTCCCCGCCCCAGCCTGGGAACTTGCCAGCGATCTCTGGAGTGATGTATCCTTGCGTGGATGTGTTAGAGCAACCACAAGGTTTAGGGTTTAGGGTTTAGGGTCTAGGGTTTTGGGGTTTAGGGTTCAGGGCTCAGGGTTCAGGGTTTGCTCCTTTGAATTCGAAGACTTCTGAGCTGCTGAAGAGCGCTGGACCCTCCTGCACTCTGAAGAGGACTTCTCAGATGCAACTTGCAGGGCTTCGGGGCTGTGGGAACTTCTCACTGTTCGCGGTCTTGGTCCTGAAGCTCAAAGAGTAGGGCTTGAGGAAGGTTTCCAATTTGGCCTTTGGGGCGTTCTGGGCTCCAGTTGCCAGGGCTATGCCCTGAACTGCGTCAGCATTCAAGCACTCAGACTCAACTCACGCCGTATTGGTCTTCGGGGCTGCCAAGCCATACCTTATAAGAAAACCAAACCCAAGTTTGGGGTAAGTTGCTAAGAAGAGTACTTTCCCTAAATCTAAACCCGAAACCCTCCTAAACCCTAAATCCTAAACCCTAAATCTCAGCCTAAATTTTCTCCGAGCCTTCAATGGCCTGTTGAGTGGGGGCCTGTGAAAAAGGTCAACCTTTTTTCGGGTTTCCATGTGGAAACAGCAGAAAGCCAAGTGAAGCTGATGGAAGTACATTTCCATGCGTGGCATAGAGGAGACAGTGAAGACAGTAACAAAGAAAAGGGTAGAGAGAGAGCGAGAAGGAAGACAGTAGCAAACACAACAACTGGAAAGCACAACATGAAGTGGAATCTTGGGGATACATTTTAAGGCTGCGGTATTATTACATTCACCGGCTGCTCTCCCGAAAGAGGGAAACAGAACCCAGAACTCATAAAGCCTAGCTGACAACGCCAGAACATCGGCTCTTCTTCTGCAATGAACTAGCCTGTTGAGTAGGGCCTTCTTACCTTTTTTGGGGGGTGGGCTAAGGTTGTTCCGCTTTTTGTTTGTAACTGTAACATAAGTACGGGAGCTTCATGATCACCAAGGTCGCAATGATAACAGAAGAACTTCCCACATTACCCGCTCCAAAAAAATGGGATTCTGAATTTTGGCCGCGTCGCCCATGGTGGCGAGCATGGCGATACGCCCGTGCTTCAGCTCTACGGAGCGCCTTCGCATGAAGGCCTGGAAAGAGGCTAGGGTTTAGGGTTCAGGCTTCAGGGTTTAGGGCTCAGGGTGTCGAGTTCCGAGAAGTAGCTTTCTCTTGTTTTCTATCCCACTGAAAGCCTGCACGCGATTGGCAGTCTGGCGTTTCTTCAACAGTTCAGATATCACATACTCCGAAAAGAACTCAAGACAAGCTAGAACACCCTCAACACCTAAACCCCCCACACCCCCCGACGCGGGTCCCGCGAAGTGTTCGCGCTGCAAAAGGGACTCCTTGACCCCTCAAACCCCCCCCCCCCCCCCCCCCCCCTCTCCCCCAAAACTGGGCGGTTCATGGGTACCTATAACCCCAATTAGTAAGTCTAATTGCAACCTACTTCAAGAGGACCTTTGGGGCTTCTAAGTACAGCAGAAGCGAGGTTCATGGGTACTTCCAATACTTAAGTCTAAGTGCAACCTACTTAAAGAGGACATTCTGGGGCTTCTAAGCAGTTGTTTCTGGTTAAGAACTTCGTGGCTGAGTTCATAATCCCCCCAAAAGTGTACACTTTCAGTTCTATATGGGATTCTAGTATCCCAAAACGTGTAAAGTGCTCACTCGGCTACTGCCAAGCACCTCCACATCGCCATCCCGGGCCAATCCAAGGGGGTCCCAGAAGCCGACCTTGGGGTTTAGGGTTTAGGGTTTAGGGTTTAGGGTTTAGGGTTTAGGGTTTAGGGTTTAGGGTTTAGGGTTTAGGGTTTAGGGTTTAGGGTTTAGGTTCAGGGTTCAGGGTTCAGGGTTCAGGGTGTAGGGTTCGGGGTTCAGGGTTTAGCCCTAGAAGGAAGCTCGGGGATGAGCTTTCGAAGGTGTTTTGGGGTTTTTTAGGGCTAAGGGCTGAGCATTGAAGTTTAAGGGTCCAGGGTCCAGGGATGAGCATTTGGGCTTTTTTGGGGTTTAGGGTTTCGGGATGAGACATGGAAGCTTCTTAGGTCTGCGGATGGCGGCTCAAGGCTTGGGAACTGTTTAGGGCTTTAGGCTTTGGGCTCTGGGCTTTGGGCTTTGGGCTTTGGGCTTTAGGCTTTAGGCTTTAGGCTTTAGGCTTTCGGCTTTAGGCTTTAGGCTTTGGGCTTTAGGCTTTAGGCTTTAGGCTTTAGGCTTTAGGCTCCAGGGTGGCCGTTTCGGGGGTTCGGGGCTCATGGCTATGGCTCGGCAGGCTTCGGGAAGTTGAGGGCAAGGCCCAAGAACTCCCGGCACGATGGGACACTTCAGGGCTGTGCCCATTATCTTCTGCACCCCGTCGGCGAACCACCGGAGGAAGCTGGGCGCTCGTAAACGATGGCGCTCTACCCTTGGATCCTGGCCGTGATGGCCATGGGTCCCAAGTGTTCCACCCTAAGCCCTAAGCCCTAAGCCCTAAGCCTTAAGCCCTAAGCCCTAAGCCCCAAGCCCTAAGCCCGAAGCCGTAAGCCGTAAGCCGTAAGCCGTAAGCCCTAAACCCTAAACCCCAAACCCTAACCCAAACCCTAAACCCTGTGCAGACGGGTATGCCCACCCCCAGCCCACCGCAGAGCCCACAACAAGGGCAGCAGCTAGGGCAGGACGCCTGCACCCGAACGAAGGACCCCTCAACCAAAACCCTCAAACGGGGGTTTAAAAAAATAAGGGGCCCCCAATACAAACAGCAGGGCCCCCTTAAAAAGAAAGAACCCTAAACCCTAAACCCTAAACCCCAAGAAGTAAAACCCCTAACTTTGGGAACCCCCGCAAATCGCACCAAGCGGCTGGAGGCTGCACCCCGAGCTCAGACTCAAATGCTCTAAGCCTCAGGGGTGGCTTGAGGAGTAGTTTCTGGGAATAGAGAGGGTGGATTCTTTGGTTTAAAGGGGTGTATAAGGGAACCTAAACCCTAAAAATAAGGGGCATAAGGGCCTACTCCGAATCCTAGGCTCGGAGTTTCAGGGCTCAGGGCTCACGTCTACGGTTAGCCTGGCGCACGGGAGCAAAGTTCGAGGCTAAGCGGTTGACTGACAGCATTACGGGGGTTACCTGGCATGTGGTCTCGTGCTTGTGGAGCACTGCCTACATAACTCTGAAAGCTGCGCACTATTGAATTCCACCTTCAGGACATGATCTGGACATGAATGGGGGACCTCGATCCTGTCGTCTCGGACGCCATGGTCACTTGTCAACATTTCTGATTGGGGTCCTATGGTGGGAATCCCAAGTTCTAAACCCAATAAAGTCTAAAGCGATGGGACCGCCCACACACCCCAGAAGCAATCAGAAGCAGCAAATCTGAGCCTTATAGCTTCACTTGCAACATGCATGGCATCAGAGCCCCTGTCAAGCGACGGGACCACCTGAAGGGCGACGGCCCCCTTCCGCCCGTCCCTCCCCGGACATGCTTCTTCCAAAATTTTCGCCGCAGCCCATGAGTGGGAATGGCAACGGCGACGGTATGTTCCTCTCTAACAGACCCAGACTCTGGCGTGCTGACGAGTTCGGGAGATGGTGGCTCCGTGTATGTTATAGCCTCCTCGCCAATGACCTACATGGAAATATCCTGGCTGCCTGCTGGGACTGTCTGTGTGTGTCTCTGTGTCTCCGTGTCTCTGTGTCTCTGTGTCTCTGCGTCTCTGTGTCTCTGTGTCTCTGTGTCTCTGCGTCTCTGCGTCTCTGCGTCTCTGCGTCTCTGCGTCTCTGCGTCTCCGCTCTCTGCGTCTCTGCGTCTCTGCGTCTCTGCGTCTCTGCGTCTCTGTGTCTCTGTGTCTGTGTCTCTGTGTCTCTGTGTCTCTGTGTCTCTGTGTCTCTGTGTCTGTGTGTCTCTGTGTCTCTGTGTCTGTGTGTCTCTGTGTCTCTGTGTCTCTGTGTGTGTGTGTCTCTCTCTCTCTCTCTCTGTGTGTGTGTTGTGTTGTGTTGTGTTGTGTTGTGTGTGTTGTGTTGTGTGTGTTGTGTTGTGTGTTTTGTGTTGTGTGTTTTGTGTTGTGTGTTTTGGGTTGTTTGTTCTGTGTTCTGTGTTTTGTGGTTTGTGCTGTGTTCTGTGTTCTGTGTTTTGTGTTCTATGGTTTGTGTTCTGTGGTTTTTGTTCTGTGATTTGTGGTTTGTGTCTTGTGCTTCGTGGTTTGCGTTTTCTGGTCTGTGTTTTGTGTGGTTTGTTCAGTGTTTTGTGTTTTGTGTTCTGTGATTTGCGGCTTGTGTTCTGTGTTTTGTGTTTTGTGGTTTGTGTTTTGTGCTTGTTGTTCTGTGTTTTGTGTCCTGTGTTTGTGTGTGTCTTGCGTGGATCCACGTGTACATTTCCGGCATTACCAAGCACATTTCCCAGTCGGCAGATTCTGGTGATCTGTGCAGGAAGCAGACCCGAAAAGAGCGGGACCGGCTGATTACAACCAAGTCTTAGTTAGCATTGAACCCAGAGACTCCAAAACCCCTTAATATAGGAACATACCTTAAATTAGAATAGGAACCCTAATATGATTTAAGGTACATTCCTTACTTAAGGGGTTTTGGAGTCTCTGGGAACTATGAGGGAAAAGCACTTTGAAGCAAAGGCGGGCTTCCTATACTCCCCTTAGAACCTTAATTAAAATGAGTTGTTTAATATCCTCTTGGGTTTTATATTTAAAATATTTCAAAAAAAAACAAAAAAGTAACTCCCAAGGGGGATATAGGGCTTCCGGACTCAATGACGCCAGGTGGCGCAGTGACACTAGCCTTGGCAGCCACCTTTCGGCTGCTGCTAGCCTCGGTGTAGGGTTTAGGGTTTAGGGTTCAGGGTTCAGGGTTTGGGGTTGCAACAGTAAGGTTCAGCACCAGGAGGGCCCTGCGGGGTGAGTGATGTTCGAGCGTCTTCGAATGCAGGCTCGACCCCCTCGGCACAAAAACCAAACAAAACTCCCCGTGCCCCTTGCGTGGAGGCCGCTGCGTAGATGGCGCCCGCGGAGGCCGCCACGACGGAGGCTGCGGTGAAGGGCGCACTAGAGGATGCTGGCCGGGCCTCGAATTGGGTCCACTTGGCCGAAGGGTTGAGGTTTATGGTTTCTAGGGCTGATAGGATCTACAGGGCTCGGAGGGCTTGTACGGTTGACAGGGGTTTGCACAGTTGGGTTCCAAAGCCCTTTGTCCTTAACAGAGGCCTAGACCCTAAGACCCTCGGTGCAGGCCTGGAGCCTGATGATGCCCCAGTGCGAGTCCGGAAATCTATGAGGAACACCCTCCCCACAGGCGGCCTGCTGCTGGGCCTGGGCCGTTGCGCGGAGCGCACCTCCAAGCCCAAGCCAGAGGACCCGAACCCAAGCCCAGGGTCCGGGGACTGTAGCACCATGTGCCCCATATGGTGTGCTCCTAGGCAAGACAAGCCCTGAACCCTGAAACTTGCTGCCCCCGCGCCTCGGGGCTGGCTACCGGCTCCTGCGATGAAGGCGCTTCCCGCCACTACGCCTGCCAGGCCTCAGCTGGCTGGCTGCAGCTGGTCTCTGTCGAGCTTTGGTTCAGGGTTCAGGGTCGATCACCGACAGCTCCTTGCTTGAGTCGCTCGGAGCTGCGGATGCTGCTGTGGAATTCTGGGCTCTTTCAGCCCTCTAATTCTCCTGCGGCTGTCCCTTGCCGGAAGTGAAGGGGGCTCAACTGTCTTGGGGCTGAGTTCGCATAAGCGCTTCCGCAATTCAATGCGGGCGTCGCGGATGCATCTGCGCTCACGGACGACTCCAGGCAAATCTGGGGCCAGCCTTTGGAGCTCCTTTGGAGCTCCTCATATCATCAACCTTCCCGGCCTCCATCTTCCTAAGTTACAGTAGCTTGTGGGTGTGCGCGCCCCCAAGTGCGTGTGCGTAGCAGATTGCAAACTTGAATCCCGAGGTACTGTTGTGGAGGAACAGCTGCACTACGAGTACCTGAAGACTATTGAAGACTTCTTGCATCACAATACGTCTCCTGGAAGAACCAGCAGCTTCTTCGGCCGGAAAGAATGCTGGACCCAATATGCTCCGTATGCCTGCGTGAGCCACAGAGACCTAACCCAACATCTACCGAGCTTAGTCTATACCCCCCTTAGAACCTCAGTAAAATAATATGTTCAATACTGTATCCTCCTGGGATTTATATGAACAAGAATAAAAAAACATTCCCAAGGGGGAGATAGTAGTAGTTGGAGCTTCTCCAGCGCAGCGCCCGAAGGTTAGACGTGTGCGCCCCGCTGCTATCTGGAAGGCTTGGAGCTGCTGTGTCGGATCTTTGAACTCGAGGCTCCCCTTAGAACCTTAATGAAAATAATCTGTTGAATATCCTCTTGGGTTTTACATGACAAAAAAAACAACAATTCCCAAGGGGGATATCGTAAACTCGAGGCTCCAAACCTCAACGAACTCAAACCCATCCTGTCCAACCTTCAAAACCTCTGAAAGCACTCAGACACAGGACTCTGAACCAAGAAGTTGAGGGAACCTGGGAACCAAGAAGTTGAGGGAACCTGGGAACCTCTCTGCTTAGAGGGCCAGTAACACTCTGAGCTCCGCGCCCGCGGCCGTGCCGACAGCACTGCACTTCCTAGATGCCATCTTGCTAATTAATGGAGAACTTGGACGGCTGTGCAGTGCTTTGAGCACAAAAATTGTCTGAGCCCAAAGGCTTTGCGGGACACGGCCTTCCAAAATGCGAAGCGCTCAGGCTACTGTAGACAAGCGACTCCAGCCTGCTAACAACATTGGTTTTACTTCGAATGTCCCCACCCTGTGGGCGAGGAGTAGACCGGGTGAGGAGAGGAGAGGACAACCCCCTTCCGTTCTGCTTGCAATGGCTCTAGGACCTCTGTAGCCCCTCTACCCTTCTTCGTTGCTTTCGTCCCTCACAACCTTCCATCTCACATCGAGGCTCAGTCGTAGGATGATCGCTAGAGCTTCAGGTCAGCAAAACCCGGACGCAATGTGCAGAGTAGTCAGAAAGGTCTTGCCAATGATGTCCCTTGGCGAACGGATAAGGGACCACCGACCCACAATAGAAGCCTTCAAAACCCATGTTAGCCATGGCTGTCTTCAGGGCATGCTCACGGCATGCCGGCCCCCATCCCGCGGATTCCACTCACCCCCAGCCCGATGCAGCTCCGCCATCTTAAACCCTCAACCCTCAACCCTCAACCCTAAACCCTAAACCCTAAACCCATCTTTGTCTCGATGCACACACGCACACACTCGCAGTCGCTGTAGGCTTACGCGCTTGGCAGCCACATTGCCGGGCCAGTGGAACCCACCTCGGCAGTGAGCTGTTCTCTAGGGACAGGGCTTACACCTGCATGGGTTCTGGGTGGGGTTGAATCGCCAGGCGTTGCTTCGGCTCATGCACACACCGAGGCTCCCAGGGACTCACTAACATCTGGTCGAATAGGAGCTGACTGACAGCGTGACGTTGCTACACGTCGCAGACAATGCCTCGGAACAACGATATCATACCCTCGCAATACCCTGCACCAATTTGCAGAGCTAGCTAAAGCAACATACAAAAAATGTTCGAAATCTTTCCGAGTTCCCATGATATTTCCGAAGCCATACCGTGAATCGACTGTACGTCAACTTCAAGACACGGCGTTGGTGCAGCAAAAAGGAGGCTTACCCTCTGCAGACGCTTTAGAACTGTCTTTGCAACCTGCATTATAGATGAGATTATCTTTTCATGATATCTCGAGTTCTTTCTAAACCACCATTGTTCGAACCTCACCCCTCCCAGATACTCTAACCCTAGCACAGGAGGCCGGGGTATATACAAACAGCCATAAGCCATAAGCGTGCAAACCCGACACTATTCAGCACTCCCAAACAAAGAAGGGTGGGAGCAAGCAGGTGCATCACAACTGTTCGCATGTTATGGGACAACAGGATCCTGAATCACAAGCCCCGCCTGAACCCTAAACAGCAAACGCTAAAAAAGCACACGGCCATGCATCCCATTATTCCTCAAAGAGTTGTAAAGGCCGGTGGCCTCTTTATCTGTATACCTTAATATAGCCCCTAGATACCGCAATCAGAACCCCGAATACATGTCCAAGAAAAACAGAAACCCTACTTAAAGAGACCGCCAACCCGTGTAATCAAAGAGCTACAAAACCCCGGTTCCAGCCCTGTCTGCCGGTGAGCAGTGCCATTCTGGAAGAGCATGGCCATCAACGCGACCATCGCCAGCCGTCCGTTCGCCAACCTTTCGACCACATTTCGGGGAAAGACGAAGTACCGCAGATCCCACAAACCCTCAACCATGAGGTATCGGGCTCTTCATGAAGCCCTAAGACCTGTCCTTGCTCAACTGCTTACAATCTTCCCCAATCCTAGGCAGATCCTACAGCATCAACTTGTCAATTCGTCAACTCTAACCCCCCAAGAACCCACAACCCTACAGCATAAAATGCTAAGCCTCAGCCGACATCCTTTTCGGTACCCCATGGTGCTCCCTTTGTTGCTAGGCCATGCATACGATATACGATATCATAGGGCACCAGGAATCGAAACCCTCTTGGCACAACTTCATCGAAAACTTCGCTCATGCCGGGACGAGGGGGCTTCTCAAGGTTTAGGTCGGAGCACTCCGCCACAAGTTCATATCTGGGGGCTTTTGGGGGGTTTTTGGGGTTGAGGGTTTAGGGTTTAGGGATAATCTGCCAAAGTGCTCTGCGGACAGCTTGGTCTTCTTGACCTCGGAGTCGGTGAAGTTGATGGGGTCGACGTTCACGATGAAGTTCTTGCCTGGGCTTCAGGGCACGATCCCCTCCCCTCCCCCCCAATCTGACGCCTAGAAGTGCAAAACAAAACCGAAACCCCCCCACTTCCCGAAGCGGGGCTTGCGTGGTATTCATGCTGCACGTGCTTTGGTTACCATGTACTCATACTACTGGTGACGAGGAAGAACAGTTAAGAGAATATGGAACTTCATTAGCACTTGGCAAGCGACCCGGGGCCTAAACAAGTCGGCCGATGTTCAATTTCGTTGCGGTAGGGGCTGACGGCTTAGAAGGCTTCGGATCAAGCAGCTTTGAGGAGTATCCCCAAAAGGACATCCGGTACACACCCTCCTCTCTTCCTATATCAACTGAGAAACCCCGCAGACCACAGCAAATAATCGACCTTGTGTGCCTTTAGCTCTTAGAGCGCATGAGCCCAGCGTCCAACGCCGAGGAAGCCATAGCCTTCGTAGTCACCAGGGGCACGCTTGGAATCCTGCTCCAGATCGGTCAAGGGCATTGGGCTGAGGTTTGAGACCTCTTTGTGGGGGGTTGCATTCTCATATATGGCGCGCAAGGTGCCATGGCCCGACGTGCGCACGCCGCTACTTCTTTGAGCGGCATAGATGGGGAACTCTCACTCTTTTTGGCCTCACAATCCTTCCCTTAAAAACCTTAGGATGTGCCTGGCGCCAGAAGTAACCCTCGTAGTGGCCAATGAAGAGAACGATCTGCAGCCAGCCCTCCAGGGGCACCTGCGCAAGACAGTGGCTGTCAACGAGATTCTTTAGTTCGTCTGTGCATGCGGGGGGAATGGCTGCGGGTGGCCGTCCACAGCCGAGGACAACGAAAGCTAGCATTCCACACCGCTACACATGAGCTCACGGAGACCGCGATCGATCCAGATCCACGGAGTAATCCGAAAAAAGCGCGCTTCACAGAACGCGCTCTTGTACAGACCACGATCTCCACCCGCCCCTCTGCTTCAGTTTAAGGCAATCCTTGACAGACTCGAGGAATGGCGCCACCCGCCCCTTTGAATCATGGGTTCGATGAATGGCGACCCGCCCCCTACCCGCATAATTCCTTGATACATTCAAGACCCCCCCCGCTTTTCCTCGATTGTCAAGAAAATCGCAACTTGACTTGACAGGGGTTGGTCCGCTTCCCTGATAAGGCAGAGATTAACTCGTCGAAGTGCCACTCGTCAACTGGCAATTTCGGATGCTTCGGCTCCTTCGGCCTTACTTCCCGGCGCTGGCCTTGGAGATTGCTGCAATGCCATGCGGCATGTCGCTGAACTTCAAGCCCTTCTCTGGGGACCTTGAGCGATAATCAAGCCCTCAAGAGCAGGTCCGGCCAAGAACCCGCCTATGTCTGTCTACTTTGGTTTGGGTTAAGAGGCTCAGATTAAATTGGGATCGGACCACTTAGCGTCCAGACCTAGACAGCTTGGTGCTTTAGATGCCTTCAGCTCACGACTTTCTAGCCAAGGTCGATGTGCTGGGCAGGATCAAGGGCAGCCTGGCACCCCGCAGCCAAGTAGCAGGTAGCCGGGCCATCTGAAGTACTCCGGGATGATGTAGCCGGTGCAGGCCAACATGCCTCTGTGTGTGTTCTGCTTGCAGGTCGAGTGTTTGTCCGATTTCTATTGCCTGACCTCACAAGCCGCATTTCCAATCAAACCTTGACTGGGAGGCTTTCGACATGGAAAAGACAAGTCAAGACAAGAGAAGATGGAGAGAAAAAAGCAGGCAGCCCACCTGCAATGCCATCCTGGATAAAATTAGCCAGAAACGAAGACAAACAGACTATCACTGGGCACATAAACTCAATATCAGCCGTCTGCCACCATGAACTTTATCCTCCCGTGCCAGGATGTTACAAGCATGAGCACATCGTCTAACTGTGCGCGTGTGTGTGTATAAATATATATATATATATATATGCCCCGAAGTTGTTGTTTTGATCTGGACTGATTGTGCTCTTCTTTGGCTTGTTTGTTTGCTTGCTTCTGTTTCATTTTTAGTCTGTTTGTGTTGCTTGAGCCCGGACAGTCCTCAGACTCCAAGCGTCGAAGCCTAAGCATGAGCGTGCATTCGTCACTCTCTAAGTGTCAATCCAGGGGCAGATGCGCCCGTGCTTCAGCTCGACGGCCCTTCGTCGCTTGAAGGTGTCCACGTCACCGTCGGCGGAAAGGCCGAGGGGATCCCAGAAGCCCACAGGGGCCTGCACGCCCAGCTCTCCTGACGGCGCTACGATGCGTGAAGCTCGGGTGTATTGCTTGATTGATGTGGCATATATGTACAGCTTACTTTGACGAAATTCAGATGGGTTGTACGCTGGACTGTATGCATTTGGCATCCACCCCGGTCTCCTTCAAACGCACGGAGAGGAGAGTCCGTGTAGTTGGCCCAGTCACCCCACGCGGAGCCAGTGAGTCCATCTTGGAAGAACATTCCGATGATGGCCATCATCGCCAGGCGTCCGTTGGCCAACTCTGCGTTGAGCTTTTTCGCGCGCAGGGTCGGGTCCTGCACAGAGTTGCCAAGGCCCAGGTATCCCAGACCAAGGTTGCCCTTGCCGTAGTTGCCTGGCTCGGACGTCTTCTTGTTGGCAACCAGCTCCAAGAATGCGGCGAACGCAAGGATCTGGGCCCAGCCCTCCTTGGGCACCACGGAGATGGCCTTGAGGCCGTTGGGGACATCAGCGAACTTCAAGTTGTTGGATGGGGAGAGGTAGCCGTCGAACTTGAAGTACTCTGGGACGATGTACCCCATTGTCGCAAACATGGACACACGTCCGTGCTTGATCTCGACCTCACGACGACGCTTGAAGACCTCGATGTCAAGGTCCTTGGAGAACCCCAGGGGGTCCCAGAATCCGAGAGGCGCCTGATCACCGGTGACTCCTTCGAAGCCGGTCTTGGGCTTCTCCCACTCAGGAAGGGTGTTGTAACCGGGGCTCATCAAGCCGCTGCGGAGAGGAGAGTCCGTGTAGTTGGCCCAGTCACCCCACGCGGAGCCAGTGAGCCCGTCCTGGAACAGCCTGAGTAGATTATGGACTCGTTCTTTGTTGGGTGCCACCGCTTTTCAAGCTGTAGCTAAGAAGTTGGCCCAGCTAATTTACTGCGGGTCAGGGAAAGCCAACTTGAACCGAGCCCCCCAGATACGGCACTAATTTCTCCAGGCTCGCGCTTACGCAGCTTTATCGTGCCAGGCTGCATACCCATGATGGCCATCATGGCCAGGCGACCGTTCGCCAACTCCGCTGACAGCTTGCGATTGCGAGCCTTCGGGGAATGTGCTTCGTCTTGCCGCAAAATAGAAATTACTGTCTGTTCTCCCAGGAGCGTGCAAGCACTATGGGGTATTTGCGTCGTCCGCAGTCGCACATTTTGGGGTCCAAGTCGTGCTCTGGCCTAGGCACCGCTTTGGGTTTGGTCCATCGCGCATTGCGCCGCTTCATGTGCCAAATCGTACTCTTCTTCTTATTTCTTTTGTGTCCGCAAACATGTCATATCATGCGGCAGATAGAGAGCATGTTTGCAGAGCAGGCTGTGTCATTCCTTTCATACCAGTCCATTCGTTCAACCGTGAGTCCACTCATTTGCTGATTACAGGCGTGTCAGAAAACCTTCGCTTGTTCACTTTGTGGTTGGGCTAGTTGCTGTTCTTCACGCATTCATGCACGCAAGCATACCTACCTGACGGCATATCGCACATCCATACATGAGAACGTACCTACCTGACTAGAGACCCATTAGACATGCATGCACCGATGCATGCAAACATACGACTACATGAGGCTGGTGACAGCAGGGATGCGCTCTAGCACAGTTCAGAAAATCGGCAGCGTTGCATATCAAAAAGCAGGTGACTTTTACCGGATCGCGCATTGTACCGCAGGTCAAGGCCGTGAAGAAATATGGGCCACTGAGCGGCCGCTGTGCCCTTGCTGGGTCGTGCCGGTTCGACAAACGCAGAACCAAGTTTCAGAAGTTGCTGGCTGGCACTCGGACCCCAAACCCTCAACCCTCAACCCTCAACCCTAAGCCCAGTCTTCTTTCCCCCCCATCTCTTCCTGCTCCTTCCCTTTCTTCTTTGTCATGCCACCACCTCCTGTCAACCCTCACTGACAGCGCGAAAGCTTGGAGCGTGCGCCTCGGGATCCGCCACGGACTTGAGGAAGCCGAGGCCCAGGTTGCCCTTGCCGTAGTTGCCGGGCTCGTCGCCCACCTGGGAGAAGGGGTGGGGGGAGGGATTGGAAGAGGGGAGTCACGGACCCGGGCGGGAAGGGATGGTGAAGGTCCCCGGGGGTTGCTGGATTTATGTTGGGTCAGCCGGCTTTGCTGCAATTTCTCCTCCTGCAGGCGGGTGAAGCCTCTTTTGTGGGCCCAGCTGGGATGGAGCCGACCCTTTCTAACGCCCCTAAACCCTAAACCCTAAACCCTAAGCCCAGGTGCGGGCTTGTTGATGAAGAGCTCGTAGCAGCCCAGGAAGGCCACGATCTGACCCCAGCCCTGGCCGGGAACCTGCCCCGTCGCAGCATAAAGCAGTCTTTTTGGGGTTAAGGGTTTGGGGTTCAGGGTTTAGGGGTTTAGGGGTTAAATATGTATATATATATATATACATATATATATATATATATAGAAACTGTCTGCCTGAATGAGTTAAGAAACGGTCTTTGAGCAAAATGCCCGTTCTCAAAGTTTCCCTCAGATTTCCTTTGCAACCCCATTGGAAACCGGTAGAATTTACCAGAAGGACCTTTAGAAGAACCCCAATCCCTACTTTGGAGTAGACCCTGGAAAAAAAACGTATAGACTTCTTGGGTCTAAGTAGCTACAGTGGGAACCCAGAACCCAAACATGTACTCAAGTATAGTACCACCAAACCCCAAACCCTGAACCCTAAACCCTTTTTTAACCCAGGACTGCGGAGGCTCCTAAACCCTAAACCCTAAACCCTAAACCCTAAACCCTAAACCCTAAACCCTAAACCCAGTTTATGAAAAGAACCCTATAAGGGCCACTCCGCTCCTTTGTCAGCGCAGCAAGGCCGTTCGGGATGTCGGTGAACCTGGGCTGCTCCAGGATGCAGGGGCTTGGGGTTTAGGGTTAAGGGTTTGGGGTTTAGGGTTTAGGGTTTGGGGTTTAGGGTTTGGGGTTTAGGGGAACAAGGCCGTAGGGTTCCAAGCCAAGGCTTTTGGGGTGAGGGTTCGGGGTTTCGGGGGGCCAAGACTTTGTGCTTGAGGGCTAGGAGCTATATCAGTGTGAGGATGAGGCGAGCAAATGAGGGGGTGTAAGGCTTCGGGAACCCCACCAGAAAGATACCAAGAGAGGGGACCCTGATTTTAAAGTTCCGCCCGCGTATTCCGCACATCTGGCATACACAGATAGAGACACGAGAGGGATTGTTCTGCGATTGCTGTGGGCCTCAGACTTGAGTCTTTCTCGTCGGCCCAGTCCCGTCTGGAACATTCTTCATGCCAGCTGCCTAGCATGAAACGGACGGCAACTGAAATCTCCAAACCTTGAGATTTCCAGCCGTGCGCCCACCAGCGCCTCACAAAACACCATTTCCGGCCACGGGGTCGCGGGGATTCAACCTACAAGCTGCTGCAAGCCTTGGAGGACCCTTCTTGAAACATGGCCTTAAAAAGGCCCAGAACCGACACAACCCCCAAACCCATCCTATGAAGCACTGTGAGGGCACAGTTGCTGACTTGCGCTTTAAGCCCTTTGAAGACTACTTATGAATAGGTTCCCTCCTGGCATGGCCCTCTGCTTGGGCACTTCTCAAGACCCAACTGTAGCCTAGGAAGGGGTGCCCTTTTTTGGTTTAAGGGTATGAGAATCAGGGAACCTATGTCCCCCCCAAAACACGGGAATGAGGGCCTACTCCGGTCCTGGGTTTATAGGGCTTAAGGCTTCTGAGCCGACAAGTCACTTCAGGCCCAGCTTCGGGGAGAGCTCACCGGGCCAGCGGAAGTACTCCGGCACGATGTAGCCTCGCAGGTCACACCGCTCATCAGACTCCGTCTCTGCACGAAATTTCAAAAATCAAGCACTATATAGCACTTCAAAAATTTAAAATTTTCAATTTCCAATTTTTCAAGTGCTATATAGCGCTTGATTCTTCGCGGCAGCTGGTCTGAGCAGCCTCGTGCTCTTGACCATGATGCTGTGCAGTCTCTTCCAGTCTCTTTTGCTCTTCTAGGCTCCGAAGCCCTAAAACATTTGTGAAAATTTGCAGGCACAGCGGCCGAGGGTGGCGTACATGGAGATCCTGCCGTGCCTGTGAAGCAAGGCTGCACTTTGCTTCGGGCCTACGCAACTCTGCTGCACATGCGAAAAAAACATGCACCCTCCATGCCCGCCACTCGAAAGCCCAGGCGCTTCAGCTCCACTTCACGGCGGCGCTTGAAAACCTCAACGTCGCCATCCGCTGACAGGCTAAGGGGGTCCCAGAAGCCCACCTCGGGCAGGAGTTTCGTCATTCTTGCTTCAGGGGACGCGGGGGAGGGGGCGAAAGAAGGGCTCTATGAGTTTGAGGTTTGGTGTCCTTGTTTAGGGCTTCTTCAAGGTGAAAATCGCCAGCAGGGCCCCTTTGTGGGGTGGACTGGAGCTTACTAAGGAATCCTGGTAGAACAATCCGTTCAAAGGACCCTGATTTCATTAGAGTCCCCCCAACCATTAGCCCGCGACTGGAGAGGGTAGGGGCTTCGGGCTAGTTTGGAGAGCTTTGGAGTTTAGGTTTACAGAAAGGGCTCCGTGGGTTAGGATCCATTGGGGTTGGAGGTCGAGTGAGGCTCGCAAATAGCGCCTTAAGACTAACACAGCCCGAGCCCAAAAAAGCCCCAGAGCCTTCCCCCCTCTGATCGAACCTACCCTTCAACCCTCAGCCCTCAACCCTCAACCCTCAGCCCTCAACCCTCAACCCTCAGCCCTCAGCCCTCAGCCCTCAACCCTCAACCCTATGTCCTCAACCCTAAACCCTAAACCCTAAACCCTAAACCCTAAACCCTAAACCCTAAACCCTAAACCCTAAACCCTACCAACAACACCCCAAAAGCAGGACGAAGCCCCGAAGCCCTAAGCCTGACGGAGCGGCTGGAGGCTGCACACCGAGCTCGGACTCGAACGCTCTAAGCCTCAAGGGCTTGAGGTTTAGGGTTTAGGGTTTAGGGTTTAGGGTTTAGGGTTTAGGGTTTAGGGTTTAGGGTTTAGGGTTAGGGTTGCAAGGGGTTAGGAGGGTAGGGTTTGCCGAGCGTTCGCAGAGTTGCGCGGCCTTCAGCAAGCGGCAGGCAAGAGCCTGTCAAGCCCTCAAAGCCTCAACAATGGTGAAGGGCTACATACCTTCTGCCGCCGCTTCTCCTGCAGGCTTGATCCAAATAGGCATTTTGGGACCGCTACTTCGTACATGCGCTGGAAAGAAGCCTTGGGGGGCTTGAAGGGGCACAAATTAGATTCTAGACCCCTAAACCCTAAACTCTATCTAGCCTTCCATGCAGAGGGGTGGACGACCTGAGGTCTGTTGTTTGACCCAACAGCCCGAGACCTTGATTCTCCGAAACCTGCTGCTGTAGTGGTATATGAAACCCCTCGTATGGGGCGCAGATAGCCTACACAAAATGGGTTTTTCTTTTTTTATTTTTTTTTTGGGGGGGGGGGTGGTGGGGGTCTTAAGGCGATCTGCACGTGAAGCGCCACCAGGCGGCGTGACGTTGGCCTTGGCCACCACCTTCCGGCTGCTGCTAGCCTCAGCTGAGTTGCTTGGGGGGTTGCAGCCTACAACCGCCGAACCTAAACCGAGCGAACCCGGGATCGAGGTGGGAGACTTCCGGCCTGCATCGTCTTCACCCTAAACCCTAAACCCTAAACCCTAAACCCTAAACCCTAAACCCTAAACCCTAAGCCCCTTGGGTGCGTGAGGGTCGCTGCGTAGACAGCGCCCGCGGAGGCCACCACTGCGGAGGCTGCGGTGAAGGGCGCACTGGAGGGTGCTGACCGGGCCTCGACGCCAAGACCACCCCCTTAGGGTTTAGGGTTTAGGGTTTAGGGTTTAGGGTTTAGGGTTTAGGGTTTAGGGTTTAGGTTTTAGGGTTTAGGGTTTAGGGTTTAGGGTTTAGGGTTTAGGGTTTAGGGTTTAGGGTTTAGGGTTTAGGGTTTGAATCCGAACATCCATGGCTGGCATGCTCATCCGCTCTACCATCCAAGGGCTCGCAGGGTTCGATCTCCTTCGCCCATGTGAGGCTTAGGGTTTGGGGTTTAGGGTTTAGGGCCCTACGCAACCCTCACAAAACATAAACACCTCTGCTTCCAAAGCCTACAAGGACAGAGCCACAAATCCCCCATGAATCCCGGTAGAACCTGATACTTGGAAGGTCTCCCCAATCTACTAGCATCCTTACCAGGGATTGTAATAGGGGCACTTTCATCCCTTTTAAGGACTGTTAGTATAGGGGGGAGCATCCCGGCCCGAAACCCGGCTCCCTCTCCCTCTGGGCTTCCTGGCCTGCTGGGCCTGCGCCGAGGCGCGGAGTGCACCTTCAGGGCCATGAGACCCCCGAGGCCCACGCAGCCAGGCCTCTGTCTCCTGGTCTTCCATCTTTGTAAGGGCAACTTTCGCACAACGGCATGGATCAGCCGTGTGTTCTGCGTAATCTTTTGCCTGAGAAGAAGCAACCCGAAACCCTGAGCCCTGGGATTTCCGCCCTCTGCGCCTCGTGGCTGGCTTCCGGCACCTGCAACGAAGGCGCTTCCCGCCACTACGCCTGCCAGGCCTGAGCTTCGCGTATTAATTTGTCTGATTCAAGGGTTTAGGGTTTAGGGCTTAGGGCTTCGAGCTTAGGGCTTAGGGCTTAGCGCTTAGGGCCTAGGGCCTAGGGCTTAGGGTTTAGGGCTTAGGGTTTAGGGCTTAGGGCTCGGAGTCCGGGAAACTCGGGAGTTAGCTTCCCTAAGTATCCCGGGTAAGGAAGCCAAGGGGTCCCTACTTGCTCTGGACCCCGTCGAAAGACGCAGACACGCAGCCACCCTGACCAACAAGAACGAAGGCCCCCTAAACCCTGACCCCTAACCCCTAAACCCGAACCCCCAAACCCTAAACCCCACACCCTAAAACCCCCAAAAACCCTTGAGTACCAGAGGCTCTGAGTTCGGCACCCACGGCCGTGCCGACAGCGCTGCACTTCCTAGAGGCCATCCTGCTAAAGGAGAATCCGGATGGCTGTGCAGTGCGCTGCGCACAAAAAAAAAACTATATGAGCCCAAGGGCTCGCCGGCACGCAGCTCAGCTCGAGTCGTTCTTGAGGCAGCTACACGGTCCCTTAGTATGGGGCCCTTTGCAAGGAGACTCCCTTATCGACCTAGTGCAACCCAAGGCCCCCATACTTCAGAACCCTTCAAAAGAAGGACCCATAACAAGGGGGCCCTAACATAGCTGCCCTGAGAGCCATCCCCTGGACACCAACTGCGGCCCCCTCTGATTCTACAGGGGCCAAGCAAAGAGGCGTGGGCCCGCCTCTACTTTTTCACCCGGTGTTCACTGTTCGCGTGTGAGAGGTGCGTAACCAGCACGTACAGTAACCATTCCTTCGAGGGAGCTGAGTGACTCCTAAGTCAGATGATGATCGGACATGAACTGCCCACCCCGCGACCTGTAGCAACAGGAGCAATGAGCCACAAGCAGCCAAAGTATGCCAGCAAAGGCTTCTTCTTCCGAGCACAAACCATCGCTATGAGACGTCAAGATCCAACCCGCCCTTTCAACTCCACTGCCCCAGCCACAACCCCATTGCTAAGCAGCCCCATCTTTTTCGCGACGCAGATGCGCGCAGCCGCAGTCGTTGCAGGCCTACGCGCTTGGCAGCCACATGGCAGGGCCGGTCGAGCCCACCTCCGCTTCGCGAGACCCCCCCCCAAAGCTGTAAGGCTGCTTGGGTCCCAGGCATCCCTGGCCCTATGTGGTTAGGGTTTAGGGTTTAGGGTTGAGGGTTTAGGGATGAGGGATGAGGGTTTAGGGTTTAGGGTTTAGGGCAACAAAAGGACAGGGCAGCCGGCCCGAATCCATCAACCTCTTCAAAAGCTCTGTCTGCCGGCAATGCGGCAGTGCCGTTCTGGAAGAGCATGGCCATCAACGCGACCATCGCAAGTCGTCCGTTCGCCAGCCTGGGCGTTACATGCCCAGATGAAGTGCCAAGCCCGAACACTTAGTCACTAGGCCCAAGGCAAGAAGCCACGGCTAGCGAGCTCCGGACCTTGCCTCTTTGAATTTCGGAGCTGACAACTTGAATAGCCCGAGCCCCGAAGCCCGGAGCCCTCCACAATGTGCCACACAGATACCTTACACCAACAGATGTTCCCCCTTATACTAACAGTCCTTGATGGGGATTATAGTACCCCCCCCTCTTTTGCAAGCCCTACTAAGGACTCTTACTATAAGGGGGAACATCCCAAGGTACTGAGGACTCTACTATTTGCTTAAGAACCCAAAAAGTTTAAAATATTATTCCTTATAAGGGCAATACAGGGATTATCATTTTATGATTTGGGGGGGGGTCTTGAGCCGCATCTTGGGGCTTTTGGGGGTTTTAGGGTTTAGGGTTTAGGGATAATCTGCCAAAGTGCTCTGCAGACAGCTTGGTCTTCTTGACCTCAGAGTCGGTGAAGTTGATGGGATCGACGTTCACGATGAAGTTCTTGCCTGGGCTTCACTGCCCGCCCTGCGTCCTGCACCCTTCGAGCTCGAAAGCCCGAGTCAACCCAAAAACCTTAACAGGATTCAACAGGGTACATCGTACTTAACCCAGAAGAATCCTGGGATTCTGGTCTTTGTGGCGCCTCAGAAGCTATTCGGGGGGATGTGCATGAGCCCAGCGTCCAACGCCGAGGAAGCCGTAGCCTTCGTAGTCGCCAGGGGCACGCTTGGAATCCTGTGCCAAATTCTGTCTAAAGGATCCACTTATGCGCTGGGCAGAGGCTTGAATAATCATAGGGCTGAGGTTGTTACTGATTGCTTAAGAGCCCCCCCAAAATAAAAACACATTCTTCCTTATGAGGGTACTATGGGGATTGTCATCTTTTTATTCTTTTGGGGTTCTTAAGCAAATAGGAGGTTGTCGGATGTAGGCTTCGCAGGGCAAGAGGTATCTCTTCAGGCCTGGCGCCAGAAGTAGCCCTCATAGTGGCCGATGAAGAGCACGATCTGCAGCCAGCCCTCCAAGGGCACCTGTCCCAAGGACTAGGGGTTTAGGGTTTAGGGTTTAGGTGAAAGTTTAGGTTTTAGGGTTTAGGGTCTAGGGTTTAGGGTTTAGGGTCGTCAAGAGTTTGATTGAGAGCCTGGACTTGTGCGGCTCTGGTCGTGTTGTGATGAGCCACCTGGGCCGCACCTGTTGGCCATAAACTGCCGTGGCTTGTGCTAGGGCCTGTCGTTCTCTGTCCACGTGAGAGCACAGGTGGATGAGCAAGAATTCGCCAGCCCTCGGCACCTGAAACCGCAGCAGAAAGTCTGAGAACCCTGAGCGGCCTGCCTTGGAGATCGCTGCAATGCCGTGCGGCATGTCGCTGAACTTCAGGCCCTTCTCAGGGGACCTTTGAAACCCAGACTGGCCCGAGGTGCACGGCTCAAGTTCCATATGCCATTGTTTGCGCACCGCAAATCTGGTGTGACCACTGTGGCTTAAGGGGTCTACTGCGGGAACCTTATGAACCCCAACCATTGTGTAACGCTGCTAAAGCAGGTCGAGGTCCATTTGAGACCAACTAGCAGGTTTAGAAGCTGTGAAGGGCCCTGAAGGGCAAGACGAGCCAGGAAACAAGGCCCAGGCTTTTCGGGTGGTGGCAGACGCTACTGGACATTGGGCGGGTGCGAATTGAGCTCTTGCCGTTTGAGTTCAAAGGCGACGTCATGCGCGACTCTTGGCTGGGCGGGTAGCGGCACAAACACAGAAGAGCCCCCCCCCCCCCCCAAGGCTGAGAAATTTCCCCTTGTAAGATTCTCGGTGTAACCCTGAACCCTAAACCCTGGGAAGGGTTTCGGGTTCGAGCCTCCGAGCCGTGAACCTTGCGGCCAAGTAGAAAGTAGCCAGGCCATCTGAAGTACTCTGGGATGATGTAGCCAGTGCAAGCCAGCATGCCTCCGGACGTGTATTCTTAACTTGAGTCGAACACTGACTTCTTTAAGCTTCGATCACAGATGACCTTCCTTGACTGTCATCCTTGCGGGGTACTGCCCAAAGCTAATGTATCATCCATGTGAACTTGTCAATGGCAACATCTCTGTCTAAACATCAATCCAGGGGCAGATGCGTCCATGCTTCAGCTCGACGGCCCTTCGTCGCTTGAAGGTGTCCACGTCACCGTCGGCGGAAAGGCCGAGGGGATCCCAGAAGCCCACAGGCGCCTGCACGCCCAGCTCTCCTGACAGCTTCGTCTTGTATGTCGTGCGACAATTTGATGCCATGAGTTGTGCGAGTTTTGCCGTGCAAGTCTCCTTCGAACGCACGAAGAGGCGAGTCTGTGTACAGAGACCAGTCGCCCCATGCGGAGCCCGTGAGTCCGTCCTGGAAAAGCCTTATCAAGCCATGGGCAGTGGCAGCGATGGGATGCTTCGCGCTATGGCTGCTATGGCTATGGCCATTCGGATACCGCTGCTAGCGCCTGGCCCTTGCTGGAATTCCCTTGGCACACCCCATTACTGCACAACAGGCACTCGGTCACCACAACTTGGTTGTGCCAAGCTGCATGCCCATGATGGCCATCATGGCCAGGCGACCGTTCGCCAACTCTGCTGATAGCTTGCGAGTGCGCGCCTTTCAAGAGTCATTTGCTTTCGGGACATATTGCAAAGCCTCGAAGGATTAAGGACCACGCCAACAATTCCTTACCTGAAGCCCCCAGCCGATGTTGATTTGTTTGTAGGTTACCGGTGATATGGAGAGAGAGAGAGAGAGCTTTTGCAATATAACCTGTCTTACATGAAAAGAAGCCACCTCGACCACGCCCCTCCCGCCCTTGCAAGCTCACACTCCAAGATCGATCGACGGAGGATCTGCTTCAGCGCACACAGCGTGACAGGTTGCGACCTCGACGCCCTGCAAAGTCCAGATTTTGAACCTCTAAAGCCTCTTGAACCTCAACAGGGACGCCCTTCTCAGCGCAGTTCAGAAGAAAAACAAAACGGCAGTGCTGCATACTCCCTCCCCCTGTCAGCACCTCCCGTCAACGGCCACGCAACCCAAAAGCCCCCGAAGCGCGGTGCGGCTTCTCTCCACTGATACCCCCTGCCGAACCCTCCGGCTAGGCTTGGAGCGTGGGCCTCGGGATCCGCCACGGACTTGAGGAAGCCGAGGCCCAGGTTGCCCTTGCCGTAGTTGCCGGGCTCGTCGCCCACCTGCGAGAAGGGGTGAGGGGACCCCTTGGTAGCCCAACAACCCTCTTGCCATCAGGGCACCCTTTTTTGGTTGGCTACTAGGGGAACCCAACCCAGAACCACAAAAAGGGCTAGAGGGGCACCACTGGTGGGCAGCCCACCTCCGAGGACCCTGAGCAGACCCTGAACCCCAAAACCTGAGGCCCCACCCGTAAGTGCTTGTGGTGCCCAGGCGCGGGCTTGTTGATGAAGAGCTCGTAGCAGCCCAGGAAGGCCACGATCTGACCCCAGCCCTGGCCGGGAACCTGCGCATCGCGGAGTCGGGTCACCGTGTCTTGTATATTGCTTAGCGTGCTGCACTGATTCCCTGGGCAAAATCTTTTTGTGTTGCTGATGTTGTCCACAAACCATCAGGTAGGTGCTTACATTTATCTGGTTGCTCGAACCCATGTTTAGATTAAACAGGGATCAAACATTCTATGCAACATGGTTCTACAAGGTATTTGCATGACGTCTGTGACATGTTGGCGTGTGAAAATATGTAGCTAGATGGCACTATGAACAGCCAGTCAACAGAAAGAACGCTTTCGATTGCTTCTTCTTGATGTCAACAATCAGAGCATGCTTTCTTCATGACGTCGCATTTCTACCTACAACTAGCAAGCTCGAGCGCAACGTCTCGGGGGCGAATGAAGCCAAAACCTTATGCTCCGCTAAATTCCCAGTAAGGCCCTCGGCCCAGCACGTATTGGGGTTCTTCATGTGCTCCAGAAAGTTCTAGCAAGCGAAACTAGTTTAACTAGTTGTGAGAATGCGTGAAAACGGCTTGTTCTCGCTATGGATATATACCTGCTTCAAAGTTAGCATGGCGCACCTTAACAGGTAGCCCCCTTCACCAACCTGGGGTGTGCGGCTTGATGAGAACAATTAGGGTTTAGGGTTTAGGTTTTAGGGTTTAGGGTTTAGGGTTTAGGGTTTAGGGTTTAGGGTTTAGGGAACTCACCAATTCACTGCTTTGGCGCAAGCAATCACACCTGCACCCGAAGGCATCGGCACTTTAGAGCAAAAACAGCCCCACCACACCTGTCCAACTGGAAAACGTCCTGTGGCACCAGCCGATATTTACTATCTTCATCGTATATCTGGCGTCACGGGATATATCTAAAATCAAACAGCTCGGGCGCCATGAGACGCAACTCACTCAAAACTCTCCCAAACCCGCAAACAAGCCCCACATGCAAACCTGCGAGCACCACTAACAATTGAACTCCCACAAAGCACTGCTAAAATTAAGGCCGGGCCTGCGCACCCCAAACCCCGAACCCTTAAAAGCTCCACGCCTTTGTCAGGGCTGCGAGGCCGTTGGGGATGTCGGTGAACCTAAGTTGCTCTTCGTTAGGGGGCTTTCAGGGCCACTGAGTGTGTAGGAACGGAGCGACGTTGTTGGAGATTCGGGGTTTAGGGGGGGGGGGGGGGGGGGCTCCGAACAGAAAACCATTGGAGGCCGCAAGACTCTGAACATGTGGATAGCTTTTCCCTGAACCTCCCATTGCTTTGAACAAACAGCCCTAAACCCTAAACCCTAAACCCTCAACTCTAAACCCTAAACCCTAAACCCAACAAAACAGAAGCAGCCTTTGGAAGAGCACATGGCCACCGAGGGCTTGCTCTAAAGTTGGGGGGGGTCGCCTTCTTTGGGTGAGTTTTTTGCATTGAGGAATCCTAATGTAGCATGGGGTTTAGGGTTTAGGGTTCAGGGTTTGGGGTTTAGGCTTAGGCTTCAGGGTTTCTAAGGCTCAGGGCTTAGGGTTCTCAAGAGTTGCGCATATTGGCTGCTGCCCTAAACCCTAAACCCTAAACCCTAAACCCTAAACCCTAAACCCTAAACCCTAAACCCTAAACCCTAAACCCTAAACCCTAAAGGAAGGCTCAATGCCTATGCAACGATGCTGCCCGAGAGACTTCAAACCTAGCTTCGGGGAGAGCTCACCGGGCCAGCGGAAGTACTCTGGCACGATGTAGCCTCACACTTTGGGGTTCGGGGTTTAGGGTTTAGGGTTTAGGGTTTAGGGTTTAGGTTCAGGGTTTAGGGCCTCTAGGGTTTCGAGCTTGGGCCTTGTATCGGAGTGCAGCAACGCTGCGTTGGAGCTGCCAGTGGTCTGGTGCCCTCACGTGTCCGCACCGAAGGTTCGACTTCGTGCGATCTGTAGCTGTCCGAGCAGGGAAGCAACCCTCAAAGACTGCTCAAGCTTCTGACCCCCTACTATAGGGGCCTTTCTCATTGGAACAGGGTTTTTGGGACTTATTATAGTATAACTATAAGAGGACTATAAGGGAAAACTATAACTCTTCGTAATGATTCCGACCCCCCCAAAAAGCTACTGCCGACGCAGCGGCCAATGGTGGCATACATGGAGATCCTGCCGTGCCTGCAGCACAGGGGTGTCCAGGTTGAGGGTTTAGGGCCTCTCGTTGGGGTTTAGGGAAAGCCTATCCGTAACATGGTAGCCCAGTAGCCATCTTATGATGAGGGTACCCTTCTTGGTTGGTTACTGTATAAGGAAGCCCAGAACCGAAAAATAAGGTAAAGAGTACCACCGGGCTAGCAAGGCAAAGGGGATAGTGCTCAGGGTTTAGGGTTTAGAGTTTAGGGTTTTGGGTTTAGGGTTTAGAGGCTCATGAGAGTTCATGCCCTTTCGAGTGGGTCTTACTGGGGGGAATCGGAGCTTCTTGCTTCCCTCGAAGCTCGGGAGATCGGGCCCTAACAAGATCGCAAGAGGCTCCACAGTGCCCCTAAACCCTAGACCCTAAACCCTAAACCCTGAACCCTGAACACCCTGAACACCCTGAACACCCTGAACACCCTGAATACCCTGAATACCCTGAATACCCTGAATACCCTGAATACCCTGAATACCCTGAATACCCTGAATACCCTGAACCCGAAATACCCCAAACCCTAAGTTCCCAAACCCTTAATACCCTAAACCCTTAAACCTGAAACCAGATTTTTGGGTTTTGGAGGAACCTTAGTGGCATATCCTTGCCCTCATTCTTCTCCCTTCCCCCTTAGCCCAGTCATGTGGGGGGTTTACGATCTTAGGGGTGCCTTACTGGGGTCTTTACTATACGGAGGTCCTACTATTTGGGGGGTCTATATAAGGGGTCCAGGGTTTAGGGTTTAGGGTTGAGGGTCTAGGGTCTAGGGTTTAGGGTCCCTTTTTAGCGCAAACCCCCACGTAGGGTTTTGTAGAGTCTTCACAGTTCTCTAGGGATCGATGTGGAAATGTGTTGCGTACGTCGCCCGTGCCATAGTTGTGCTATGCGTTAGCCAGGGGATTCTGGTGGCATCTTAGTAAGGCTACCCCAAACCCTAAACCCTAAACCCTACACCCTAAACCCTCAACCCTAAACCCTAAACCCCAAACCCCAAACCCTATACCCTAAACCCTAAACCCTACACGAAAGCCCACCAAAGCGCTTCAGCTCCACTTCGCGGCGGCGCTTGAAGACCTCGGTGTCGCCATCCGCGGAGAGGCTCAGGGGGTCCCAGAAGCCAACCTGGGTCAGTTAGGGGTTTAGAGTTTTTAGGGTTTTAGGGTTCTAGGGTTCTAGGGTCAGCGCCAGGCTGAAGATTTTTTCCGAGCCCTGGTTTAGGGGGTTTAGGGTTTTGGGGTTTTAGGGGGTTTAGGGGTTTAGGGCTTTAGGTTTTTAGGGTTTTGGGGGGGTTTTAGGGTTTTAGGGTTTTAGTAGGGCCTGTGAAAGTGGGTTAGCCAGTATCCGGGATTGAGAATTTGCTCCGGCTGAGGATGCGAGAGTGGCTTTTTTTTGGCCATTCTGCCGCTACTGGCTGTGGCTTGTGCCAGCGATCGTGAGGAAGGCCCTTCTGTCAGAAAGCCCCCCCCCCCCACAAAAAAACAAAAAAAAGCCAAACCCATTGTTAAAACAGTACCTTTGCGGCACTTCCTTTTTCATCCTTGCGGCTTTGGGTGGCTGTGGTCCGGCCCGTGGTTGAGTAAGGGCGCCATCAAGGTGATTCCAAACCCCAGAACCCTTGCATGGTAGCCCCAGGCCTTCAAACACCTTGAGGCCCCTGGTCAAGAATTCGTTGATGAGCCCTCACGGAATACTCCTGTCCAAAACTCCAAACTGGACCCGAGCGGCTGGAGGCTGCACCCCAAGCTCCGACTCGAACGCTCTAAGCCTCACAGGGAGGTTTGGGGCTTTGGGGGGGGGGGGGGGGGGGAGGTTGCATGGTCCAGCAATATGGTCCCCTTGAAGGGTTCTGAAGTATGGACCCGTGGGTTTGAAAGGGTATATAAGGGGTGGATGAGGGATCCCCATTGAAGGGCCCATCTACCCGGAGATTTAGAGAATCATCCGGTCCCTGTGATTCTGTTAGTTTGCGACACGTTCTTCGCACAGCGTTCTGAGATAGATCCTCGACGCGCAGCCAAAGCTCTGAAATCGCAACCAAGAAATTGCTGTCACCACACGCCGGCTGCTAAAGCGGGGCCTTTAATGATCCGTTCTGCTCTGACTGTTCTGATAGCCACTGACAAAGTTCGCAACAACCCCACATCTCAGCAACCTCCTTCTTGAGCAGTACCTAGCTGCTGTGAATGCGGTACCAAGCGGCGCGGTGACGCCAGCCTTAACAGACACCTTTCGGCTGCTGCTGGCCTCAGTTGTGCTGCGCAAGCGGCTGGGCTCGGGCTCGGGCGGTTGAGGGCCTTGTACGGCAACAGCTTACAGCGGTCCATGAAGCAAATGAGCACAGGAATCTGGGTGAAAGTTGCAAGCCCCTATCCTCTCGACACCGGCACCCTCAAAGAGTCCCTGGATCTGAGTGCGTGAGGGCCTCTGCGTAGACGGCACCTGCGGAGGCCGCCACGATGGAGGCTGCCGTGAAGGGCATGCTGCTAGATGCCGGCCGGGCCTCCAGGCAAAATCGAGGCAAATCAGCTAATCTCCTTTTGAGGGTGGATTCCTGATTTCGGGCGGCCAGCCCGAGGCCGAGAAGTGTCACCTTAGGTTTAGGGTTTAGGGTCGTCTGCCCTCTCCCTGCTCCCGGCCTTCGGCTCGCCCTGGGCCGTGGCGCGGAGTGCCACTCCTTGCGGTCCGAGTCGATTCTTCGGTCCCCCCCAAGTGCACCCTCCTCCGCCGAACCCGAACCTCCGAAACCCAAAAACTGAACCCTACAAACCCTGCAAATCCTACAAAACCGCCGAACTCTGAAAGACCCCGATACTCAGAATCCAAGCGCAAGGACCGTCGTATAGTGCCTGAGCTCGTCCCATTCTAAGTGAAGCGCCCGTTGCTGGCAGAGTGCGCGCCACGGCATGGTACTTGCACGCTTTATCCTGAAAGGCCCTTGTCTTGGCAAAGGAACCCAAGAGGAGTTGACGCCCATGCTTCCAAACAAGATTGCAAAAGTACGGTTTACGTGCAAGAATAATCGCCGTCGTAGGAGGAGGAGGAGTAGTGATAGTGGTAGTGGTGGTGGTAGGGGTAGGGGTAGGGGTAGGGGTAGGGGTAGTGGTAGGGGTAGGCGTAGGGGTAGGCTAACTTTGTTTATGATAGTGTTTGTAGGGGTAGCGTTTGTGGTAGTAGAGTTTGTGGTTGTAGTAGTAGTAGTAGTAGTAGTAGTAGTAGTAGCAGCAGTAGTAGCAGTAGTAGCAGCAGCAGCAGCAAGAGCAGAAGTAGTAGCAGCAGCAGCAGCAGCAGCAGCAGCAGCAGCAGCAGCAGCAGCAGCGTAATATTACAAGTAAGAAAATTGTAAGCCGCGTGCAGCACGAACTGTGCGCCTCGCGACTGGCCGCCAGCTCCAGCGACGAAGGCGCTGCCCGCCACTAAGCCTGCCAGGCCTTGGAGCTTCAGGTTTAGGGTTTAGGGTTTAGGGTTGAGGGTTTAGGGTTTACGGTTTAGGGTTTAGGGTTTAGGGTGTAGGGTTCGTTTAGGGTTTAGGGTGTTGCAAGTGGGGTTATCAAGTACCCTAAATGGGCGGTTGTCAAAATGGTGGTCCCTTCTTGGATCCCTATGATGATACGGATCCTAATATTTAGGGTACCCCAAAAGGCATCATAATTTTGACAACCACCCAGGTATAGTTAAGTAGGGTTTATAAGTACCCTAAATAGGGGGTATCGGTATCACCCGACACTTAACTTTGAGGCAGACGGCAGCTTAGGGGTTCACGGTTGGGCGTCGCTGCATTCATCGGGTCCATGGGCTTTAGGCTTCATCGAGATCCTGGCTTTGGCCTTTGTAGAACCCCTGGGCTGCTCCATCTCTCCTGAAAAAACCGCCAAAACCCTGAGACGCAGCGACTTCTGAGATTCAGAATCATCAGCGGGTCTCTGATGGTCTCTGGGTTCCGCACCCACGGCCGTGCCGACAGCACTGCACTTCCTAGATGCCATCCTGCTAACTAATGGAGAACTTGGACGGCTGTGCAGTGCTCTACGCACAAAATTGGTCTGAGCCGAACGGCTCTGCGGCACCGGGACTTTGTTCATTGGATTGAGTGTTTTCTGCTACAGGCAGGCGGCACCGTACGCATCGTTCCATTTGTTTCGGGTCGTATGGTTTGATCCCGCCAGGGATTCTGTTGTGCTTCTGCCTACGCAGTGTCTGACAAACAACTGACTAACACCTAGGGAACGCTCACTACGGCCACCCACCGCAGATTAATCCCCACGGCCATGCGCACCGTGCAGATGCAGCCTTCCGAAGCTTGCCGCATCCTTCTCGAGTTCGATGCGACGTACAGAGGCCACATGACATGGACATGACCTTCGGATTCCGCAACAACCAAGGCCTTCCAATGACCCAAGTACTCGCAACAACCAAAGGAACCAGGGAAACACGGCCATGACGAGACCCAAGCGCAGCCTCGGAATCAAAAAGGGCGCCCTTTTGTTGGTTTAAGGAGGGCTTAGCAGGGAACCGAAGCCCGGGAAAAAAAGGAAGAAGGGCCTACTCCGGGTGCGAGATGACCATCACCGAAGCACCGATCCGAACATGCCAAGGACGGGTTGACGTCTCCACTCGGCTCGAAGAGAGCTCTGCCAAAAAGAGCTCAGGATCCATAATGGCACCCCCGAACCTTCCGCTGAGCCAAAGCCCTCAACCCTAAGCCCTAAACCCTGAGCCCTAAACCCTGAACCCTAAACCCTAAACCCCAAACCCTAAACCCTAAACCCCACGGTTGACAAGCTCACACTACTCCCTTTCCTCTCGACGCACGGTGCATCCTGTGTCGGCTTACGCGCTTGGCAGCCACATCGCCGGGCCGGTGGAACCCACCTCGGCTCGCTGCTTCAACTTTTGGGGGGTTTAGGGTTTAGGGTTTAGGGTTTAGGGTTTAGGGTTTAGGGTTTAGGGTTTAGGGTTTAGGGTTTCGGGTTTAGGGTTTAGGGTTTAGGGTTTAGGTCTAGGGTCTAGGGTCTAGGGTCTAGGGTCTAGGGTTTAGGATTTAGAGTTTAGGGGGGTCGTCCCCGGAAGTCCGAAAGCCCTGAGGTTTCAAGGCCTCAGAGGGTTTAGGGTTTGGGGTTTAGGGTTTGGGGGGGGGGGGGGGGTTTGGGGTTGGGGCTTGGGGTCAAATGCACCCGGCACACTGGTGCCTCGCCCTGCTGCCCCCCGAGCCCAACGCAAAGCATTGGGCCCTTAATAATTACAATAGGGTTTTGGGAGTTCTTATGTTTTGGGGGTTATTGACAGGGTTTTGGGGGTTGTAGGTTTATAGGGGTTGTTATAGTATAATCATGCAGGGAAGTACGATTAGTAATTCCGACCCCTTGACTCTCTGCCGGCGATGCGGCAGTGCCGTTCTGGAAAAGCATGGCCATCAACGCGACCATCGCAAGTCGTCCGTTCGCCAGCCTCGCAAACCACCCTCCGGGATCTTGACGTGGCATTTAGAAGGATGACGTAGACCCGTACACCCTAGCACGGTCGGCCCGATCACCCTAACTAAGAACGTGGTGTCCATCCGGCATGCCTACCTGCCTACCTTACCAACACAAGAACCTGAGATGACTTACTCATGGTTCGCGAGGAAGCAGAGCGCTTGATTCTTCGTGGTACAGTCCAACAAGTCCGGAGTCGTCGGAATTCCTGCCGGGATGCTCTGCGGACAGCTTGGTCTTCTTGACCTCCGAGTCGGTGAAATTGATGGGGTCAACGTTGACGATGAAGTTCTTGCCTGGGTTCTTTTCGGGGCCTTCTGCGGCTCCTTTCAAAGGAGCCGGCTCTCAAATCAGGGTCTTATTGGAGCTCAGGGTCGGGGGGCAGCAACTCCTCTAAACCACCCGAACCTTCCTGCTCCCCCCCCCCTCCCCAAGTACTCTTCAGGTGCCCCCCAAAAAAGATGCACCTCTCAAAAAATGCCCTTTTTTTTTGAAAGCAGGGGATGGGAGGGGGAGGGAAAGAGGGTGAAGCCGCAGGTCCCTGAAGCCTCAGAAGTTTTTTTTTTTTTTTTGGGGGGGGGGGGGGGGGGGTGCATGAGCCCAGCGTCCAACGCCGAGGAAGCCGTAGCCTTCGTAGTCGCCAGGGGCACGCTTGGAATCCTGCACCCAAGTTGGGGTCAAAAACCTAAACCCTCAACCCCCAAACCCTAAACTCCCCTAAACCCCAAACCCTAAACCCTAAACCCTAAACTCCCCTAAACCCTAAACTCCGAAACCACTTGAAGCCCTCATAAGGGGCGTTAATCTCCCTATGAGCTGCCTCTGAGGGCTTGAAGCAAAGCCCTGGAATCCCTGTTCGCACTCCAAGGGTTTAAGGTTTAGGGTTTCGGGTTTAGGATTTAGGGTTTAGGGTTTAGGGTTTAGGGTTTAGGGTCAAGGGCTTAGGGCGTTTTGGGCTCGGGCTTCGGGTTCAGGTCGTGCCTGGCGCCAGAAGTAACCCTCGTAGTGGCCGATGAAGAGAACAATCTGCAGCCAACCCTCCAAGGGCACCTGTCCCAAAAGGAGACGTCGACTCTTCATTCGTGTCGTGGTTTTGTTTTCGCAGATGTGCGAGTTGCCGCCTGTGCCTCACCTGTTTGTTGTCATAAGCTGCGGTGGCTCAGGATGCATCCCGTAACCTTCTGTCGCCCGAGCCCCAGACCCTAAGCAACTATGATCCATGTGCAAGCCGTGGGCAGGGATCTGAATATTCAAGGCGCAACCCTCTAATCTTGTGATGTTGTGCGTTGCGGCCTGCATCCGCAAACCCTTTCCCCTTTCCGCGTCTGCGCCAGCGTACATGCAAACCCTAAACCCGAAACACCCCTCAACCTGAAACCCTCAACCCGCACCCCTCAAAGCCCTAAACCCCAATCCTGGGACCCAATCCTGGCCTTGGAGATCGCTGCAATGCCATGCGGCATGTCGCTGAACTTGAGGCCCTTCTCCGGGGACCTTGAGCGATGTTTACTTAACTCGCATGGGTTCCACGAAGTCGGCCCAGGATGCAAGGCCAGGTTCTACCACACCCTAAACCCTAAACCCTAAACCCTAAAGCCTAAACCCCTTATCCAATCTCTCTGTGTGTGCTTTTTGTACTGAACAGTGGCAGGTTGTGTCTGCATCTTTTGTCCTCGCAATTGGAAACTTGCATGTTCAATACGAGTAGGACTGGTGCGTAGAATTTAGCAGCCTCATGCACTTTCCCGACAGGCTGGTTCAATGCTCGGAGTGGCTGTCCCCCCTCAGCCAAGTAGCAGGTAGCCGGGCCATCTGAAGTACTCCGGGATGATGTAGCCGGTGCAGGCCAACATGCCTCTGTGTGTGTGTGTGTGTGTTGTGTGTTGTGTGTTGTGTGTTGTGTGTTGTGTGTTGTGTGTTGTGTGTTGTGTGTTGTGTGTTGTGTGTTGTGTGTTGTGTGTTGTGTGTTGTGTGTTGTGTGTTGTGTGTTGTGTGTGTGTGTGTGTGTTGTGTGTTGTGTGTTGTGTGTTGTGTGTTGTGTGTTGTGTGTTGTGTGTTGTGTGTGTGTGTGTGTGTGTGTGTGTGTGTGTGTGTGTGTGTGTGTGTGTGTGTGTGTTGTGTGTGTTGTGTGTGTGTGTGGTGTGTGTGTGTGTTGTGTGTTGTGTGTTGTGTGTTGTGTGTGTGTGTGTTGTGTGTGTGTGTTGTGTGTTGTGTTGTGTGTTGTGTGTTGTGTGTTGTGTGTTGTGTGTTGTGTGTTGTGTGTTGTGGGTTGTGTGTTGTGTGTTGTGTGTTGTGTGTTGTGTGTTGTGTGTTGTGTGTTGTGTGTGTGTGTGTGTGTGTGTTGTGTGTTGTGTGTTGTGTGTTGTGTGTTGTGTGTGTGTGTGTTGTGTGTTGTGTGTGTGTGTGTTGTGTGTGCTGTGTGTGTGTGTGTGTGTGTGTGCTGTGTGCTGTGTGTGTTGTGTGTTGTGTGTTGTGTGTTGTGTGTTGTGTGTTGTGTGTTGTGTGTTGTGTGTTGTGTGTTGTGTGTTGTGTGTTGTGTGTTGTGTGTTGTGTGTTGTGTGTTGTGTTTTGTGTGTTGTGTGTTGTGTGTTGTGTGTTGTGTGTTGTGTGTTGTGTGTTGTGTGTTGTGTGTTGTGTGTTGTGTGTGTGTGTGTTGTGTGTTCTGTGTTGTGTGTTCTGTGTTGTGTGTTGTGTGTTGTGTGTTGTGTGTTCTGTGTTCTGTGTTCTGTGTTCTGTGTTCTGTGTTCTGTGTTCTGTGTTCTGTGTTCTGTGTTCTGAGTGTGTGTGTGTGTGTGTTCTATGTTCTGTGTTCTGTGTGTTCTCTGTGTGTTCTGCGTGTTCTGTGTGTTCTCTGTGTGTTCTCTGTGTGTTCTCTGTTTGTTCTCTGTGTGTTCTCTGTGTGTTCTCTGTGTGTTCTCTGCGTGTTCTCTGTGTGTTCTCTGTGTGTTCTCTGTGTGTTCTCTGTGTGTTCTCTGTGCTCTCTGTGTGTTCTCTGTGTGTTCTGTGTGTTCTGTGTGTTCTGTGTGTTCTGTGTTCTCTATGTGTGTTCTCTTTGCGTGTTCTGCGCGCGCGTGTGTGTGTGTGTGTGTGTGTTCTCTGTGTCTGTGTGTGTGTGTTCTCTCTGTGTGTCTGTGTGTGCGTGTTCTGTGTGTGTGTGTGTTCTCTGTGTGTGTGTTCTCTGTGTGTGTGTTCTCTGTGTGTGTGTGTGTGTTCTCTGTGTGTCTTTGTGTTCTCTGTGTCTGTGTGTGTGTGTGTTCTCTGTGTGTGTGTGTGTGTTCTCTGTGTGTGTGTGTGTGTGTGCGTGTGTGTGTTCTGTGTGTGTGTGTGTATGTGTTCTGTGTGTGTGTGTGTGTTGTGTGTGTGTGTGTGTTCGTGTGCGTGGTTAGGTGTGGTGGCATTTGTGGTTGTGTTTGTGGTTTTGTTGTTGTGTGTGGTGTGTGTCGTGGTTGGTGTGTGTGTGTGTGTTCTGTGTGGTGTGTTTGTGTGTGTGTGTGGGTGTATTCTCTGTGTGTGTGCTGTGTGTGTGTGTGTGGTGTGTTGTGTGGTGTGTGTTTGTGTGTGTGTGTGTGTGTATTTCGTGTGTGTGTGTGTTATAGTCTATGTGTGTGGGTATTCTCGGGGTGTGTGTGTGTGTGCGATGTTCTGTGTGTGTGTGTGTGGTTTCTGTGTGTGTGGTGTTATGTGTGGGTGTGTGTTCTGTGGCGTGTGTGTGTGGGGTGTGTTCTCGGTGGGTGGTGTTCTTGTGTGGGTGGGGTTCTGTGTGTTGTTGTGTGTGTTCTCTGGGTGTGCGTTGGGTGTGTGTGTGTGTTGTGTGTGTGTGTGTGTATCTGTGTGTGTGAGCTTTGTGTGGGTGTGTGTGTGTGTGTTCTGTGTGTGTGTGTGTGTGTTCTGTGTGTGTGTGTGTGTTCTGTGTGTGTGTGTGTGTGTCTGTTCTCTGTGTGTGTGTGTCTGTTCTCTGTGTGTGTGTGTGTGTGTGCGTTCTGTGTGTGTGTGTGTGTGTGTCTGTTCTCTGTGTGTGTGGGTGTGTGTTCTGAGTGTGTGGGTGTTCTGGGTGTGTGGGTGTGTGTTCTGAGTGTGTGGGTGTGTGGGTGTGTGGGTGTGTGGGTGTGTGGGTGTGTGGGTGTGTGGGTGTGTGGGTGTGTGGGTGTGTGGGTGTGTGGGTGTGTGGGTGTGTGGGTGTGTGGGTGCGTGGGTGCGTGGGTATCAAGCCGAGGGGCAGATGCGTCCGTGCTTCAGCTCGACGGCCCTTCGTCGCTTGAAGGTGTCCACGTCACCGTCGGCGGAAAGGCCGAGGGGATCCCAAAAGCCCACAGGCGCCTGCACGCCCAGCTCTCCTGACGGCGCTACGATGCGTGAAGCTAGGGTGTATTGCTTGATTGTGATGTGGTACGGCCTATGGGTTGTGCCCTGGACTGTACTGTGTGCATTTGGCATCCATCCCGGTCTCCTTCAAACGCACGGAGAGGAGAGTCCGTGTAGTTGGCCCAGTCACCCCATGCGGAGCCAGTGAGTCCATCTTGGAAGAACATTCCGATGATGGCCATCATCGCCAGGCGTCCGTTGGCCAACTCTGCGTTGAGCTTTTTCGCGCGCAGGGTCGGGTCCTGCACGGAGTTGCCAAGGCCCAGGTATCCCAGACCAAGGTTGCCCTTGCCGTAGTTGCCTGGCTCGGACGTCTTCTTGTTGGCAACAATCTCCAAGAATCCTGCGAACGCAAAGATCTGGGCCCAGCCCTCCTTGGGCACCACGGAGATGGCCTTGAGGCCGTTGGGGACATCAGCGAACTTCAAGTTGTTGGATGGGGAGAGGTAGCCGTCGAACTTGAAGTACTCTGGGACGATGTACCCCATTGTCGCAAACATGGACACACGTCCGTGCTTGATCTCGACCTCACGACGACGCTTGAAGACCTCGATGTCAAGGTCCTTGGAGAACCCGAGGGGATCCCAGAATCCGAGAGGCGCCTGATCACCGGTGACTCCTTCGAAGCCGGTCTTGGGCTTCTCCCACTCAGGCAGGGTGTTGTAACCGGGGCTCATCAAACCGCTGCGGAGAGGAGAGTCCGTGTAGTTGGCCCAGTCACCCCACGCGGAGCCCGTGAGCCCGTCCTGGAACAGCCTGAGTAGATTACGGACTCGTTCTTTGTTGGGTGCCACCGCTTTTCAAGCTGTAGCAATGCAGTTGGCCCAGCTAATCGCTGTGGTTCTTCATGGAAAATCCATTGAATCCCGCCCCCTTAAAACAGTCCTGACACAATGGGCTCGCGCTTACTGCAGCTTTATCGTGCCAGGCTGCATACCCATGATGGCCATCATGGCCAGGCGGCCGTTCGCCAACTCCGCTGACAGTTTGCGGGTGCGCGCCTGAGTTGAAATCAGGGCAAGAGGCAAGATTGACTGGCTCTTTCTTTACTACCCTAAACCCGAACCCTAAGACCTAAACTCTAAACCCCGAAACCCCAAAACCCCCCCCCAAACCCCTAAACCCTAAACCCCTACACCCTAAACCAACCCTAAACCCTAAACCCTAAACCCTAAACCCTAAACCCTTAGTCGAATTCTCCATGGGCGCCTCAGGGTCGGCCACGGACTTCAGGAAGCCCAGGCCCAGGTTGCCCTTGCCGTAGTTGCCGGGCTCGTCGCCCACCTTGCTTGAGCGGCTTACGGTTTAGGGTTTGGGGTTTGGGGTTTAGGGTTTGGGGTTTGGGGTTTGGGGTTTAGGGTTTAGGGTTTAGGTTTAGGATTTAGGGTATAGGGTATAGGGTTTAGGTGACTGTTGGTTAGCAGGGAATGGGGGGAATTAGGGCCCTGTGTTTTCCCCTTGAAGGGACTACATAGGGTACCGTACCGTAGCTAAGCCAACAGTAACTGTTTGAGCGGGCTTCGGGGCTTTGGTGAGGGACGAGTGGCCGGGAGAACCCTAAACCCTAAACCCTAAACCCTAAACCCTAAACCCTAAACCCAGAAACGAACCGGGGGGGGGGGGGGGGGGCTCGAAGGCCATCATCTGCGACCTCTTTGAAACTTCCCCTGGCAAGCCTCGCTCTCTCCTCACCGATGCACTTGTGAACAAAACTGCGCAGACTTTGACCATACTCCCCTTAAGACCTTAATAAAAACGATACTCTTCATACTCCTATACTCCCCTTAGGACCTTCATAAACATGGTACGTTTAATATCCTCTTGGGTTTTATATAAACAAAGATACAAAATAATTCCCCAAAGGGGATAGAGTTGATCTTGGCTGAGGGCTTTGCCAGGTAGCCGTGTAACTGTGGCTGTCCCTTGAGCCTGCACTTAGCAAACTTATGAAGCTCCGAGCCTGGCAGTTTATCTGCACCTGTGCAAAACCATTCGAGGAGGACCAGGGATGATCCTCAAAGGCTCTCCCCAAAAAGACCCACCGAACCCAGGAGCGTTGTCTTCCCCCCGCCCCCTCCCCAACAACCCCCCTTCTTTAAGAATGCCCCGAGAACTCCAACTCCTCCTCACCAGGGCTTTGGGGCGCCTTAATGGAGGGGAGGGCAAAGGGTTTAGGGTTTAGGGTTTAGGGTTTAGGGTTTGGGGTTTGGGGTTTGGGGTTTGGGGTTTGGGGTTTGGGGTTTGGGGTTTGGGGTTTGGGGTTTGGGGGTTGGGAATACGGCTTCTTTTCACCACCATACAACTTTCCAGACACCTCAGGTCCCGCAGGAACGGGAGCTCTTGCTTCATCCACAACTTTTTTAATGGCTACCCTAAACCCTAAACCCTAAACCCTAAACCCTAAACCCTAAGCCCAGGTGCGGGCTTGTTGATGAAGAGCTCGTAGCAGCCCAGGAAGGCCACGATCTGAGCCCAGCCCTGGCCAGGGACCTGCGCAACACAGGGGCCTTACTAATTGGAACAGGGTTCTCGGGGAGCAACTATGATAAAGGGACCACAAGGGAATATTATCAGTCACTCATTCGGTTCAAGTATAGTATGATGATGAAAGGACCATAAGGGAATGTTCTTAGTTATTCTTCCGACCCCTATAGAATACGGTACATGCAAAGGGCCTGAGTGCGTGAGTGTTTGAGGGTTTCTCGGCAAGTTAAAGACAGGAAGCCTCGTGTCATGGGGGTTACCAGGGAACCTAACACTCTTCGGCGACCCTTCATCCGAGTTTAGGGCTAACCAAAAAATGATTCGAACCCGGAGATTCGGGTAGACGCCGAACCTTGAAGCCATGAACATCCCCCCCCCCCCATGCCTTCGTGAGCGCGGCCAGGCCGTTGGGGATGTCGGTGAACCTGGGAACACACAGGCTGCGGGGTTCAAGATCCTTACGAACTCCATGCAAGTCTATCGTGCAGCAGCCTCTCAAAGAACCCGAGCAGGAGGAACAGTGCCCAAGAGTTTTGTATTCTTGAGGTGCCATCATGAGGAGCACAGAAGGGAGAACAGCAGCTCAGCCTCTGGTGATACACCAAAGCTCCCAAGCTCTACCTTAAGCACAAGATACTAGACCCAGGAGGAACCTAGGAATAAACAGGGTGCCCTTTTTGGTTTTCAGGGGGATGATAAGGGAACCTAAACCCTAAAAGGAAAACAGGGCCTACTCCCGGTCCTAGCATGGTGCAGGTTTTGGGTTCAGCGAAGTACCCGTCAAGGCCGACAAGTCACTTCAGGCCCAGCTTGGGGGAGAGGTCACCAGGCCAGCGGAAGTACTCCGGCACGATGTAGCCTGGGTTTCGGGTTTCGGGTTTAGGGTTTAGGGTTTAGGGTAGAGGGTGTAGCCTCGGCATTTCGGGCCTACGTTCGAGCAGCTGCACTGGCGGAAAGACTTTCATCCCAAGAAGGGAGGCCCTATTTTCCGGAACCCCCCGGTCCCAAGCCCTGGGAAGCTGCAAGCGAAGCGGCCGAGGGTGGCGTACATGCAGATCCTGCCGTGCCTGCGGCGCAAAAGATGCTTGCGAAGAGGTAGCTGTGGGGTGTGACCAGCGGCAGCCCCTTTTACAAGGAGAAAGGAAAGCTTCGAAGCCCCATAAAACCCTAAACCCTAAACCCTAAACCCCAAACCGTAAACCCTAAACCCTAAACCACCGTGCGTCCGCCCCTGCCAAGGGACTTGAGTTCCACCTCGCGGCGGCGCTTGAAGACCTCGGTGTCGCCATCCGCCGACAGGCCGAGGGGGTCCCAGAAGCCCACAGGCGCCTTTGCAGCTTCGGGTGGTTTAGGGTTTAGGGTTTAGGGTTTAGGGTTTAGGGTTTAGGGTTTAGGGTTTAGGGTTTAGGGTTTAGGGTTTAGGGTTTAGGGTTTAGGGTTTAGGGTGTAGGGGTTAGGATTGGGGTTTGGGGTTTGGGGTTTGGGTTTTGGGGTTTTGGGGTTTGAGGTTTGGGGTTTTGGGGTTTGGGGTTTTGGATGGGGTTTTGGGGGGGGTTTGGGGTGGCTTGGGGTTTTGGGGTGGCTTGGGGTTTGGGGTGGCTTGGGGTTTGGGGTGTTTGGGGTTTTGGGTTTTTGGGGGGTGGGGTTTTGGGGTTTTGGGTTTTTTTGGGGTTTTGGGGTTCTGGGGTTTGGGGGTTTTGGGGTTTTGGGGTTTGGGGGTTTTGGGGTTTTGGTGTTTTGGGGTTTTGGAGTTTTGGGGTTTTGGGGTTTTGGGGTTTTGGGGTTTTGGGGTTTTGGGGTTTTGGGGTTTTGGGGTTTTGGGGTTTTGGGGTTTTGGGGTGGCTTGGGGTTTTGCGTTTAGGGGTTTTTGGGTGTAGGGGTTTTAGGGGTTTTAGGGGTTTTGGGGTTTAGGGGTTTAGGGGTTTTAGGGGTTTAGGGGCTTTAGGGGTTTTAGGGGTTTTAGGGGCTGTAGGGGTTTTAGGGGCTTTAGGGGTTTTAGGGGTTTTAGGGGTTTAAGGGGTTTTAAGTGTTTTAGGGGTTTAAGGGGTTTTAAGTGTTTTAGGGGCTTTAGGGGTTTTAGCGGTTTTAGTGGTCTTAGGGTTTGGAGTTTAGGGAGGGTGTGAGGTCTGGGACTGAGCGCTCGGAGCTTGAGCTCGTTGATGCTTACTCCTCGCTGTGCTTGGTAAATTAGTCAAGGAAATCATGATACGAAGTCATGGCCGTGGTTTGGGGTTTAGGGTTTTGGGTTTAGGGTCTAGGGTTTAAGCAAAAGGGTTTAGGATTTAGGGGTTAGTAAGGCTTTCGGGCGAGTTCTGCTAGATAGGCATCCAATTCATGCGGTGATGCTTTGCAAGCGTAAGGGTTCACACTGTTTCTAGACTCCTTGTGAGGCTCCTCGACACTGAGAAGTCAAAACCTTAGCAAACCCTAAGCCCTGAGGCCTAAACCCTAAACCCTAAACCCTGAACCCTGAACCCCAAACCCTAAACCCTAAACCCTAACCCTAAACCCTAAACCCTACATTCACCCTACCACCTCAACCCTCCTAAGCCCCCGGGAACGCCCTCCTAACACCCTCCAGAGCCTGCACGCCCAGCTCGCTCTCAAAGGCTCGAAGAGGGGAAGCCGTGTACAGGGACCAGTCCTGGGGCTTAGGGTTCAGGTTTAGGTTTAGGGTTTAGGGGGTGTAGGGTTTAGGGTTTAGGGTGTGGGGTTTGGGGTTTGGGGTTTGGGGTTTGGGGTTTGGGGTTTGGGGTTTGGGGTTTGGGGTTGGGGTTTGGGGTTTGGGGTTTGGGGTTTGGGAAGGTTTGGGCGTTTGGAGCGTTGGGTTTGGGGCCGTTTGGGTTTGGGATGGTTTGGGGTTTGCGCCGGGTTTGGGTTTGCGCGGTGGCTTTGCGGGTTTGGGGTTTGGGGTTTGGGGTTTGGGGTTTGGGGTTTGGGGTTTGGGGTTTGGGGTTTGGGGTTTGGGGTTTGGGGCTTAGGTTTGGGGTTTAGGGTTTAGGGTTTAGGGTTTAGGGTTGAGGGGTTAGGGCTTAGGGTCTGAAGGCCTGCATGGAAGTTCCTGCGCCCACTTCGAACCTACTTGTAGGACTTTAGGGGGTTGCGTCTGTAAGTACTCAGCTATTTTTAAATGGGGGTCGAAGTGCTCGGAACTGCAAGTGGGAAGGTTTAGGGTTTAGGGTTTAGGGTTTAGGGTTTAGGGTTTAGGCTTTAGGGTTTAGGGCTTAGGGTTTCGGGGCTTCCGGGCTTTCAAGGTGCAAGGCTGATTGGGGCCTTGTGATCACCGGTCTGCCTCCTTCAAGTCCGAACTCCGAACAGCCCCATGTCCGAAAAACAAAGAAGCCGCGGGGCACCCCAGGCAGAGCCGGTGAGGCCATCCTGGAAGAACATACCTTTGCAGCTCAGGAGTTTAAGAGGGGCGCGTGGGCCCAAAGTCAATGAAAAGCTCTCCTACTCCGGCTGAGGAGGAAGCTTCCTGCACTTGAGGCCCGAAGCTCAGGAGTCGCGTCTTAGGTACGACAAAACACTGTCAAACACGTAAATCCCTGGGGACCATGACTACGGTCATGTCGGAAGGTTCATCCAGCTGGATTCCGGCTGGACGCTTAAAGTCCGAATTGCTCAATGCCCGATTTGCCTGTGTACAAGCTGGCTGCAATGATTCCAACAGCCGTCCGTGCTTGAGCTCCTTGGCTCGCAGGTCCTTGAAGCTTGCCTCGTCCTTGCAGAATCCTGCTGGATCAAAGAACCCCAGCGGCTCCATGGCACCAATTTGGGCCTCAGGGCTGAAGTTGCAAGCCACCGTCAGACTCGGACTTCACCGTCGTGGAGCCGCGAAGGGTCGTGACGGCCTGCTGCGAAGCTCCCGGTGCCACGAAAGCATCTGCACACGGCGCAGCCAGAAGACCCGCGGCAATCAGGTTCTTCACGGAAGCCATGTCTCAAGGGAGAGCGCGCAAGTTAAGGGCAAAAGGTGCGAAATGGACAACCGACTTTCCAAATGCTGACGGGCAGGCATGTGCATGTCACACGGCCAAAGCAAAAGCATGCCAAAGTCATTGAAACGCTCATTCTCGAGCTGATCTCGGGATGTAGCCTATGCGGGCCAGGCCCGATAGTACCTCTCTTGTAAAGTCATGCTGTGGGCATTTCCCAACACAAGGGTCCGGTCTCGCCCCTCGTAGACCCCACAAAATACGGCTTGATTCTTAGGCGCCCCGGAGGAGTAACTTTCGGGGAAGCCCCAGAAAAGAAACATGAGGACGTACTTCTTGCGACCCACTAGCCTAGTTCCTCACTACCCTGACGCCCAAAAAAAAAGGAGGCTCGCCTCACACTTCTGGTAGGATTGTGTATAACCCCCCAAAACGGCTAACGGTCATCTACGCGGCTACGAAGATACCCTAAACCCTAAACCCTAAACCCTAAACCCTAAACCCCAAACCCTAAACCCTAAACCCTAAACCCTAAGCCACACAGCCCAGGCGCCGATGATAGCCATCATGGCCAGCCTGCCGTTGGCCAGCTCGGCGTTCAGCTTCTTCTTGCGGACCTAAGGAAGACGCGACGCGATGCTAAACTACTAATTGCTTAAGAACCCCCGAAAAAAGCAAAAACCTTCTTCCTTACTAAGGGAAATACAGGGATGCTGATTTTTTTAGCCTTTTCGGGTTCTTAAGCAAAAAGTAGTACATGGGCCGCGCTTGGGATGTTCCCCCTTAATACTAACAGCTCCTTCATAGGGACTATAGTACCCCTACCATAAATCCCGATTAAGGACTGTTAGTATAGGGGGAAACATCCCAAGGCTGTGCTACTAAACCCTACAAAAAACCCTTAGGAGTGTCACTAACTTGCTTAATCCTGTTCCCCTAGAAAGAAAAAAGGATCCTTTTTGTTCATATATAAGAAAGCCCATAACCCAAAAAGCAAAAAGGATCCCCAACACTGATGGAGACTTAGAGCCCGGAGCTGACAAGGGGCGTCAGGGTCTGCGATGCCAGTGCTCATGACGCCGATGGACCTGTGCCGGGTTTCGGGCTTTGGGCGGAGGAATCTCTGACAACCGCAGCAAAGCTGAATGTCTGAAGTAGGGTTTGGGGTTTAGGGTTTAGGGTTGAGGGTTTAGGGTTTAGGGTTTAGGGTTTAGGGCTTAGGGTTTAGGGAGCCGAGCTCAAAAGTGGAACTGTCATCTTCGTCTTCCATTCAGGGTGCGTTCACCGCTGTCGTCGTGACGGACCGCAACCAAAACAGCTTCAACGGCGCGTGGTCGATCTGCTAACCGCTTACCCCTGGAAGCCCTGCATGTAGCCCTGAAAAGGGCCAATTAAATCCTAAACCCTAAACCCTAAACCCTGAACCGCCAAAGAACTCAGGCCCCAAAACCTCAGCAGTCCTCAAGCAACCGATGACCTATGAACTTCCCCCGCGACCTCACACCCTCAACCTCCCCCGATCCTCCCAACACTGCAGCCGCATGTGGCCGTGCTGAAAAACCCTAAACGCTCAACCCTATACTCTAAACCCTAAACCCTAAAACGACTAAACCCTGTACCCTAAAACCCTAAACGCAAAACCCTAAACCCTGACCCTTAAACCCACTGTATGGGGGGCAATCTCTTCGTGAGGTGGGTGAGCCCACCTGAGACCAAGAAAGCCTGCACCGTAGTTGCCCGGCTCGTTGTCGATCTACAAGGGCAGGGGAGTTTAGGGCTTAGGGCTGAGGGTTTAGGGAGTTTGGGGTTGAGTCTACGGTGACAAGCATGGGGTTTTAGTCTATGGACCCTTGATTAGGGTCCCGTTGTTATACCACCCTTATATGCACTGAACGTAAGAAGGGCCCGTACTTCGGATCCCTATAAACAAGGGTAAGGGGCCATACTAAGGGCCCGTGGTTCCGACCGTGGATTTAGGGTTTTGGGGAGTTGATATGGGGTTTGTGGGGAGGGGCGGTGGGACTGAGTTCAGCTCCGGGAGGGTTTTGAGCGCCCAACTTTCAACTTTCCAAAGTTATCCTGAATCCCGACTCCCCCATACATCTCCAAATATTCCCCTTTGTTGCCTGGCAGCGGAGCACATGACACCCTCCAGGTTTTTGAACGTGCGGAGTTCTCGCGTTTGGGATGGAAGGGCTTTTGGGGTTGTGCCTTTGGTGTCTGAGGTGTTCAGGGTTTAGGCCTCGTCTCAAGATCAGGGGCATGGCATACTACTTCGGTTATTTGAAGGCAAGGAGCCACCTCAAGCGGAAAGAGCCCCAAAGAAGGGACTCAGAGAAGGACACGCAGACAAAGCGCGCATACAGTCTAAACACCCCCCTGCAAGCCCTGTCAACCCCCCAAACCCTGGCACATCCGCCCTAAACCCTAAACCCTAAACCCTAAACCCTCTACCCTAAACCCTTAACCCTTAACCCTAAACCCTAAACCCTAAACCGAAAGCCCTAAAACCTAAACCCTGCCAGGCCTGCTCGTTGTAGACGTTAACCTCGACGATGCCTGCGAAGCCGACAATCTGAAGCCAGCCGAAGGTTGGGACCTGCGCACGCAACGGCGGGGGGCCTTCCGACAATAGGGATTTTTGGGTCCTTAAGGGAGGGAGTATGTAACCCCAAACCCTAAACCCATGAAGCTCCCCTACGCTTCCCTCAGGTTCCGAGGCACCTTCCCTTCCCAATGGACTTCTTTTGTAAGGACCCTATAATGGGAGGATGTGCTTGTTTTGGGGGCGCTCCTTGTCTTGGAGGCTCTGACAACGAAGGCTATGATACTCTGGGTGTATATACCAGGGGGCCCCCTCCTAAAACCGAAGCAAAGCCAAAAGTCCCCTCTTGATTTTCAGACTTTTGCAAGAGAAAACTGTCCCATCCACAGGATCTGATTCCCATTCCAACCTTCAAAGCCAAATCTTCTCTTGGGAGAATCAGGGTTTAGGGTTTAGGGTTTAGGGTTTAGGGTTTAGGGTTTAGGGTTTAGGGTTTAGGGTTTAGTGTTAGGGTTTAGGGTTTAGGGTTTAGGGTTTAGGGTTTAGGGTTTAGGGTTTAGGGTTTAGGGTTTAGGGTTTAGGGTTTAGGGTTTAGGGTTTAGGGTTTAGGGTTTAGGGTTTAGGGTTTAGGGTTTAGGGTTTAGGCTTTAGGCTTTAGGGATTAGGGATTAGGGATTAGGGTTTAGGGTTTAGGGTTTAGGGTCTATGGTTTAGGGTTTAGGGAGCACCTTGCTGAAGGCGGCGAGGCCATTGGGCACGTCCGCAAACCTCCAAGCAGCGTCGAAGCACACGCTGGCTTCGGGTTCAGGGTTACTAACGATATTCCGTTCTGGTCCCTTTCTCATTATACTCTTATAACCCCCCAAGACCCTATTCTAATTTTCACGCTCCTGCATTAGGCCCAGAACTGCTCAAACCTTGGAAAAATCCGTTGCAGTCCTGGAGCCTGACGGCATGTAGCATGTGGGGATGCTTGCTCAAGGACAAAAAAACAGAACCCAGGTGGAACGCTAAGGCGCTGGGAGACGAGAGGTCTAGGGTTTCTATGGTTCATGGGTGCTGTTTTGTTTTTGCTTGTTTTTTTTTGGGGGGGGGGGCGTGGGGGGGGAATGGCTCTGTGAAAGTTCCCTGTGCCAAGGGGCTTGATGTCCAAATACTTGGACAGGTAGCCCGGGAATCGCCAGTACTCCTTTCGGGATCTCCGGTATCCCTAAACCCTACACCCGAAAACCCTAAAACCCTATCCCCTGCGAAACTTTAGGCTGACCCAAGCCCAGACCCAGAAAACCCCACATCCCGTCTCTTGACCTCCGTTTAGGGTTTCGAGGGAACGTGCAAGCCATTCCAAAAGTCGTGTCTTCTTCCATGGCGATCCAACAAAAAGCGCCCGCAAAGTTCAAAGCAGGACACCGGATGCCTACGTGTGCCCACTGGTTCCCTTTTGCCCTAGTCCAAAGATTTAGAGTTTAGCCAAGCTTCAGGGAGGATGTATCCCATGGTCGCGAACATCGCCACGCGTCCATGCCTGGCAATCAAGGGACACATTGAGGGGTTCTTCTAGGGCTGGGTGCATGGCTGGACTGCGGTACCTGAAGGAACGGCTTTACCTAAGGGGCAAAATATAAGAGTCTACACAAACCATGTGTTTTGGGGGTGTTATTCAGCTAGGGTTCAGGGAAGTGAGGCGGGCACACGAAGAGCCAGCCCTCAACATAAAACACACACACACACACACACACACAAGTTGCCACAAGCCGTTGGAAGATGATGTGCTCCCTTTTGCACGTTACAATTCCCCCGGAAATTTGTCTCTTCAAACAAAAATCACAGCAAACCCACAAAGCCTGAACCCTGGGTTCGGACCAAGCTGCTTGAGCTCGACCTCGCGGCGGCGGCTGAAGTCGGACAGGTTGCCGCTGGAGGACAGGCCAAGGGGATCCCAGAAGCCGACCTTCACACGGGGCTTGGGGTTTAGGGTTTGGGGCTTGGGGATTACGGTTTAGGGTTTAGGGCTTTGGGGAAGAGACCATCGAGAAGTTCGCTAGGTTCACTAACTACCTGAGCACAACAACTTTGGATGTGCCATCGGCAGGAATGCGCCACTTTTAGGAGCTCTTCGGGCAAGGCCTTTCAGCGCCTGGCCAGCTTATATCAACCGTCAACCTCAAGTGCCCTAAACCCGAAACCCTGAACCCTGAACTCTAAACCCGAAGCATGGCAAGCGTCCCCCCCCCCCTCCCCAAATGCTATCAAACACTGACCCAAGCCAGGTCGCCGGGGGCTGCACGCCCGTCTCCTCCTCGAAGGCACGGAGGGGCGACTCCGTGTACAGGGACCTGAATTGTGGCATATTGTTTAGGGTTTAGGGTTGATAGGGATAATAGGGTTTAGGGTTGAAGGTTGCTCCAGTTCTGTACCGCCCGAGTCAGCCATTGGCTGTCGTATGGCGAAGCAAAGTCTGACTATCCCATGCATTGGGCCGCCTATCTACCCAATCCTGTGGGATTTGTATCGTTGAAGTGCCGTTGAAGCGGCTGCTCGGAAACGTCAAACATGTTAAGGCTAAGCACATCACACCGACAACTCTGCATCAAACCCCCTAATAAGCCCTAAACCCTGAACCTCATCCCGACTGGAGCTCATTTACCGAATGAGACCCCGTGCCGAACAATCTCCATAGAGGCAAAAAAGCCCTCTTAGGCTGCACTCGGAACATCTTGACCACAAAGCGGCTTCCGAATCATCCCCCAGGTTCTGATTGAAGCTTGCGGCCCTTCTTCTTTGGGGCTTCAGGCCACCCTAAACTCTGAACCCCCGTGAAAGCCCTCAGCCGATTCAGCAGCCCCAGTGGCCAGTCACCCCAGGCGGAGCCTGCACAAGGTGCTTTTGCGTGGCTTTGGGGTGCTCTCCCCTCCACCACATCAAGGCGCTTTGAGACCTTTCTCAATGCCACACCTAAAGCCTGTATACGAACCGGTCTACTCGTCCCTCAAGTCGTGGAGCTTTGGGGGGCCCTTATGCAGAGAGGAAACCGAAGCACACACGCCCTGACGTGAAAAACACAAACAGGATCCGGAAGATCACACCATACGCAAACTACCCACATACCGCCCAACCTAACTACGATACCGAGTCGAAAAGCACAAACAGGAGCTTTCCCACACCTCTCAAGCTCTTTGTGTCCCCTATAGACTTCGTCTAACTAAGCTACACGGCCCTTTCAGAGGCGCCCCCAACAAGCAACACCCCCATGACTGAAGACCCCGAAGACCAATCGCTGTTCCAAGCTCGGCTGTTCCGCCTGTGAGGCCGTCCTGGTAGAACATACCTGGGGCGTCGTCTGGTCAATCTTTGGCCACCCAGTTGTGCAGGTGCAATCCTGTGGATTAAAGGCCCCTGCTGGGTGGCTCATATAGGTGTCATACGGAGCCTTAGATCTACTAATTGCTTAAGAACCCCGAAAAAATAAAAGCATTCTTCCTTGTTAAGGGGAATATAGGGGGTATTGTTTTGTCTTATTCTTTTGGGGTTCTTAAGCAAATAGTAGACATGTAGGGCCCTGAATGGGTAAGGTTTCAAGAGCACGGTGCAACGCCCAAAGCTGTGTGAGGCAAGATGCCGATGATGGCCATCATGGCCAGGCGACCGTTGGCCAGCTCCTTTCAGACTTCAGCCATGCGCCTAAACCCTAAACCCTAAACCCCAAACCCCAAACCCTAAACCCTAAACCAAACCACTCTAGGAGTGCATAGGCCAATGCAAATCCCCGAGCCAAAGACCCGAAACCCTTAAACCCAAAAAAGGGTATGGATGTGTTCAGCTGATCGAGCTTTGAGTGCCTCATGTGTGCATCAGATGCTTTCTTGATGTTCGGGAGCTCACTGACCCAAAACAGCCCTCAAGATGTGGAGGAAGGTCCGTTTGGGGCCTCGAATGTTCCTGACAGCGCGGGATACCAAAAAATTGGGGCCGCGTCCTAAATCCTAAATCCTAAACCCTAAACCCTAAACCCTAAACCCTAAACCCTAAACCCCAAACCGAGCCCAAGCTGCTGCGCTCAGCTTCTTCTGCTTTGCATCCGGGTCCGCCGAGGTGAGGACGTACCAGCCGAAGTCACCTCACGCCGCAACTTCAGGGTTTAGGGTTTAGGGTTTAGGGTGCGGAGCTGCTGCTGGTATTGTAGAAAAGAGTTAGTGTTGGAAGTTGAAAGGGTTAATAAACCCGGAAATCTTTTATGGCTCAAGACTGGGCCATGTGCCTGGTAGTAAAAGGTGAGTGCCCTGTGGTTTGGGTTTGTTGTGTGGTTGATCCAGGGAAATCAAGGGCTTCTGTTGGGGTTGACTGTTCGGTTTCTCGTCCCCCTTCGGTTCCCCCCGTAGGTTATGAGCCCAAATTAGGCTTCCTGCGGTGTAGGTAAGATTCTACACTTGTTTGGCGCAATGGACATGTTGCGGCGTCGGTCGGAACCTGGACTGTCATCCGCGGCCAATGAAGCCGAAGAAAATCGTGGTGATGGGGGTGAAGAACGGCAACAAATGGTACAAGCGCTGACAGATGGTAGGGAGGTTGCAATGATACAACCAACGTCTCAGGTGGAAAACGAAGTGGTTCCGGTTCCAGCAGCGAATCCTTTCTGGAGCGAGCGGGCTCATGAAGAAATGAGACTGAGGCAATCAAGGCCAGCAAGTCTCCCTGCGAGCGGAGGGGATAGGAGTGGTGAAGAAACAAGAAGGCCACCGTCGTTGCCAGAACTTCGGGATCGGGAACCTGTTCCAGCTGAGAGGCCATCTTCAGGTTTGATGGGCCAGATGGAAAGAGGGAATATTGGTGAGACACAAGGCGAGGAAGAGCTTATTCCTGATCTGAGTGGTGAAGAACAAGGTGAAGATATGGCGGTGGTAAAGCGTGCGCTGAAAGAGTTGCTTGTGCAAACAAAGGAGCTGGGGAACAGATTGCATCGGGTGGAGGAGAAAAGCTATACCTCTGCTGCATCTGGGTCAGCTTCGAGAGCACGGAGCACTGGAGTGGTGGACGCAAATGCTGCATATCCTTTGGGAATGACTCCAGAGAAGCAGTACCCGCCAGGACAAGTTTTCTACACTGATGGTATGGGTGGTTTCTGGACTGTGTTGCCTGATGGGACATGGCTGCCGATTGAGGGCTACGACCTTCCAAAGGGTTGTGACCTTCAACCCTTGCCTGAGCCCAGGAAAGGGGATGTTCACGTGGAGGATGAGAAAGAAGTGCCAATGATGCACGTAACTGAAGGGAAGAAACCCTCCAGATTGCCTCCATTGAATTACCCCATGGGAGGTTCTGCAAGTGGTGGATATGCAAGTGGACCACCTGGTTTAACACATGTTCCGATTACTTCCTTGCCGTCAGGCGTTGATGGTTCTGCCGCACTGTTGGGAAATCAGCCCGGTTTTGTCTCAGCTCGGGAAACTTCAATGCAAGAGAACTCAACAGGATCGGGTGGATATACAATGGTGGATGATGTTCCATATCGGTGGAAAATGATTGCTGGGAAGTTGGAATTAGAGAAGGTTCCGCTTACAGCGTTTGCGCCCGGAATGGGACATGGATTGCCGCAAGGGCCTGGTGGAAAGGTCAGCTTACCTCCTGGAGCTGTGGTGCCACGTGGGATGCCAAACATTGGTGATAGTTCTGGAACTGAACGTCCGGAGGCTCTTGGGAAGCATGTGATGAGCCTTCCTACTTTGGCAGACTACACACCAAGCAATCCGACGGCACTAGGTGATTGGATCGCAATGATCGAACCAATGTTGTCTTCGCTGACAGATACAGGAAGAGTGTGGTGGCAATCCGTCTATACAAAGGCGTATGAGGCGTACGCCAAATGGTTGAGTGTTTCTCCGCTGGAAAGGTTGGGCATCAAGGCTGAGCTGGAAGGGCTAAAGGGGTTCGAACTGTGCATGTTTTGTTGGAGCAGAGAGCGGTGTCTTTGCTGCTACAAGCGATTCCGGAGAGATTGAAGACCGAGATCGTTTCCACTCGAATGTTGGGGTCGGTGATGATATTTTACAAGTTGCTGACAGTTTACCAACCAGGTGGAGCAAACGAGCGCAGCACGATGTTAAACTTCTTGGTGCAACCATCCTCAGCAACCTCGATCTCGGAGGCTATTAAGGGAGTGCGACAATGGGCGCAATGGCGTTCCCGGTTAAGGGAGCTGCGAGCATCCGAGCCGGATGCTACCTTGCTTATCAAGGGATTGGATGCTTTATCATCCGCGTTGCTGGCAAAACACCCTACGGTGCATTTCAGCGTGGCATCCTTTCGGGAGAAATTGGGGGTGGACTACTCGCCGACCTCTGAAACTGCGACACAACTAGCTGAAATGTTACAGGCAGAGTTTGAACTGCTATTGCATAGTGCTGGTGAACAAGAGGTGAAGCAGGACTCGGACGCCAAGAAAAGGGCCAGGTTAAATAAGGCCCAAAAAGGGACTGGTGACGAGACAGAGGAGGGTGACAAAGGCAAAGGGAAAGGAAAAAGGTACAGCGGAGATGGTGAACGTCCTTTCTGTTGGATATATGGGAAGACAGAAGCAGGCTGCAAGTTCGGATCACGGTGCAAATTTCGCCATGACAAGGACTCCCTGGAGCGTGGAAGATGTTTTGAATGTGGGGCCATTGGCCATTTACAGCCGCAGTGTCCATACAAAGATGGTGTAAGTTCCAATGCGGACTTAAATCCTGAAAGGAATAGATCTAAAGGGAATTCTCCCAAAGGGGGAAAGGGCGGCAAAGGTGCAAAATGGGGAAATGCCAAAAAGGCAGAAGTGGCTGAAGTGGGAGATGAGATGGCTAATGCGGGATTGGATAAAGGTTCTGCAAGTCCCTCATCACCATCAACAACCAATCAGGTTCTTGCTGAAGCGTTAGAAGTGCTGAAATCTATGAAGCTGTCATCAGCGCAGTCAGCATCAAGCGGAGATCCCAGTGTTCGAATGTTATGTGACTCTGGATTATTTCAGCAGGAAGGGAGAGTGGCGTTGGTGGATACAGCTGCTACGCATCTTGCGCGGACGCTTTTTCCATGGGAATGTTTACCCGACACTACTGTTATGGTGCAAAGCGCGCTTGGTGGTGTGACAATGAGGATTACAGAGAAAGGGACGTTGATTAGGGAAGACAATGGGCCCCTGATTATCCCTCTCTGGTTGATCTTGGAGTTTGGGGCGAACCTCACCGTGATCAATGGGATGTGTCACGTGAGTGCAAAATCTTCGCTGGACCAACTCTTATGGTTTGAACATGGCTGTTTGGTTATGGGTTACAAAACAGCTGAGAAAATGGTTTTGCATGCTGAAAGGCAGCGTGCGTCGTTGTCCCATTCTCAATGGAGGAATGGAAGGGCGGACTGTGGAGTCGGTTCGTCTGATGCCACGTTGTTGCCGAAGCAGGGAGAAGGCCGAGGAGTATGCGTTCTACATGTGGCCAGGGTTTCTGACACCAATGAGTGTTCGGGAATGGGCATGTTGGACTCGGGAGCATCGCATCCTCTCAGATCACTTCGTCCTGGAGAACAGCTTCCGCAGCAAAAGGTGTTGGTGTCTTTAGCTGTTGGATCTCGGGAGATGTGTATTACCCCAGGTGGGACCCTGGTAACTCCTGAAATGGTAGATCCACTAGTGCCAATTGGCAAAGCGAGCGCCTTGGTTGGTCTCAGAGTTCAGTGGCGTGGTGGCAAGTGCACAGCCTCACATCCTGTTCTGGGAGAACTTCGCGTTCGTGATCTGAATGGGTGCCCTTGTTTGGAAAAGGAGGTGGCGCTTCAGATCATTGATGAAATGGATTGGTGTTCACCAAAGCAAGCATTGCAGGTGGCACGTATGGTTCAAGGGTGTCCGAATACGGACAACGAGGTGGCTGTAAAAGCGTCGTTGCAAAGCGCAGCGCGGACAGCGTCAGCGAATGAGGAGGAGTTCGTCCAGGCATGCTGGCGGTTTCTTCGGTGGTATTATGGAGATATACCAGAAAATATGCTGATGGAGCTGTTGCCACGTGGAGATATTGCGGCGTTGCCTTTCAACCGTCATAAAAGGAGACGGCTGGCACGAGCAAAAAGGGCGGTGGTACACCTATTTTCTGGAAAACAAAAATGGCATTTTCCCAGTCGGGATGTGGAGGTACTGGAGCTGGATTTGAAGAAAGGCGGTGACCTACATAATTCGAGCGTCTGGAAGTATCTTCTGCATCTGGCGGCTGAAGGAAAGGTGGTTGCTGTGGTTGGAGGACCTCCGTGCAGGACAGTGTCAAGGTTGAGAGGTGAAGACGGTGGTCCACCTGTATTACGCCGACGGTGTGGAACTGCTGAAGTCATCAATGGAAGTTCTGTCTTCTTTGGCATGGAAAGCCCTGGGGACCCTGAACTCATAGGGAAAGATTTCTCTCAGAACGGCAAAACGGTCTTGAGTGCTGAGGATCTGGTGGATGGTTCTCAGGAAGGGCTCTCAAGTCCTACCTTCTGGAGTTGGCCAGAGGTTAAAAGCTTTTGTGAGCGTTATGGAATGTACGCTGCACATTTTGATCAAGGAGCATTGGGTCATGCTCTGGTGAAACCTACGACTTTCCTGGTGTCTGATATGGAACTGTGGGAATCGTTGGAACAGGTTCGCGTGGTTGTTCCGTGGTCGGCAACATTCGCTTCTACCCTGGAAGAACGTATTGGACAGTCCTCCATATGGGCGCGATGGGCGTTTGGATTGGTTAAAAGAATACGTCACAGGTTGGCACAATGGTTGCATGAGAGCGATGCTGAACGGGAAGCTATGGTGTTAAAAAAGGAAGAACGAGAAGGGACGTTACGGAGGCTGACAACGGAGGAGCGAGCTTTCCGTGACCATTGCCTAAGGGGGCATATTCCTTTCAGACGTGATTGTCAAATTTGTGTGTCTGCCGCTGGAAAAGAGCGTCGCCATTTGAGGCGGAAACATGGGGATGCTTACACTTTATCACTGGACTTAGCAGGTCCATACAAGTGTTCAAAGGATGCTCACCAGCAGAAGCCACGACACGCTGTTATTGGTGTGTATCAATTTCCAATGTTGGATCCCAATGTGGGTCACCCTCTTGAAAAGGAGGAAGATGC